AACCATTTTTGGTTAAAAACGACATAATGGAAGAAACAATTGATTTGCTAATTAGATAAAAGTCAATTAGAACTGAAACTTCTTAAAACAGTACATTCTGAAGTAAATAATAAACAACGTAAACGAAAAAAAGAAACATTATTAAAAAATCAGTAAAACAATGTGAATTTGAACTACAGAAAAAAGTTTTTTTAATCAATAAAATGTTGAGTTCAGTATAAAAATCTCTTTTGTAGTCATACGTTTAAATTTTCAACTCAAGAATTTTCTTAATTGGACGGATATGTCATTCACTTCTAATTTAAGTGGTACATGATCAATATTTATTTTTCATAGACTAACATCATCAAACTTTTGACTACAATGTCTTTATTATTTGTGGTTAATTGTAACATCATAAATATAATTGGAAATTCAACATTGTTGGTTTAAGAAAATAACGTATTAATTATTAAATTTTTTCTACGCGCTTAATTATTTTGGTTGTAATTATTCCCAGATTAAGTTCACATTTTAATAATGCAGTCTAGTCTAGTTATAAAATTATGTACATTAAACTAACATTTAAATCCAATTTTTTTTAGCTGAATAATAGAAACTGAAATTATTTCCTTATAAGAAAACACAAATTAATTTTTCGCATTAAACAAATCTAATACGAGTTCATAAATAATAAAAAAAACCTCGTGCATAATTATTAAAAGATTACCACACTACTCAATTTATCAAGTGACTGTTTCATACAATTAAGATAATATATTTTACTGCTTAAATCATTCCGAATCATTAAATAACAATTAATCATATCTGGAACATTTAAACTGCAATTTTTAAAAAAAAACTTAATTGAATTTTTTATTATTTCAATTTGCATCATATTACATTTACAGCAACCTAATTTTTCAGTCAATGAATTCCTAGAAACTCTGTAGTAAAGCTTGGAATTATCATTAGGAAATGGCAAAAAAAATAGCCGTACCCTGTATTACTCATAGGGAAGCTGTGCGAATAAGAAATAGGAATGAAGTCATAATAATTGCGGTGGCAAAGGCGCTTGATGACACAATTGGTGACGAGGATGAGATGATATTGTGCATTACATCGTTTAGCCATATGATGATGATGATGATCCAACATAGTCGAAGTAAAGAGCAACATGGTCGATATGAGTGCAAAATACAAGTTAAAGTTATGTTTGCCGATTTACATAGTCGTTAAGCAAGATACGACCGACGATTGAATCTCCAGGGCACGAGCAAGTTCTTGGAATTTATTTTAACGACATTCTTAGGGAATAGGTATAATCATCTAGTAGTATAGACTAGTTATACATTTAGAAACTGATGGTAGTTTAGAAATTGTTATTACTATGCTGGAAATTGATCTGTCAATTTGTTTATAGACTCATGAGTGTATTTTGCAGGTCTCTTTTCGAGAAATATATGTTTGTAAAAGACCAGCGATAAACGATGAGGTATCTCATCCCTTGAGACCTCGTAAATAATCCGATATTCGGTCGAAAACGATTCCTAACGATAAACAAATTAACTAGGACGGTTGGGACGTTGACTCATAGTCATGAATGGTAGATATATGTGCATATATACCAATTCCTGATGCGCATATGAACTTACATGAGGTCGTCGTCTTTTCTGAGCTTACAGTCTACCATGTCATACGCTGGTTTGTAATCTAATCATAAGATTGCAAAACATATACTCGGCGCCCATATGATGTTTTGTCTTTAAGAAATTCCTTTGATTAAATACACTAGATTCTGAGCCTTACTTTTATTTCAAACGCCGCTTCGTTTTACTTGCAAGTGCTCGGATCATATATTCGCGAAATTTAATAATTCATACTTTGATGGTATGAATATGTATTAGTTTATCAAAAAAATAAAATTGTGAAGTTGAAATACTTTAAAATTAAATCTCCAAATTTCATTACTGAATAAAAAATACTTTTTTTAAAGAATTGAATGGAAATAATATTTAGAGTTTTAGTAATCCAGAGCGAAGTATTTTGAGCGATATTTTAGAAAAATCGATGATTAGAAAATTCTATGAACATCTAAAAATCTTCAAACTCCGTTCACAAATAAAACAAGTCGCCAACTCTGTCATGTTATCGTATAATTTTTTTATGTAAATTTTATCATAAAATCGATGTTAATTTTTGTGTAAAACAATTATTGCAGCCATCTATGTGACAATAATGTTAACCATATGAGTATGCGCTAGACGGAATTTCTATTGTCCTTTAAATACTTTTCCCTAGTCATATAAAAATGCAAATAAATAACAGCGACAAAAATTTCTACAACTAAAAAACCATAACTACTATATTAAATCGGATTTTAGCATCAACTAAAAATAAGAAATCATGAAAAAGCAAGAATTAAATCAAACTGTATTAAGATAAGACTCCATGAAACTCATAATTTATGTTATATCACACATCAACAACAACAAGTTGGTGTTGAAAATGAATAAATAAACGGAACAAAACCTTGAGGTAAGCAGGTTGATGTAGGCGTAGAATTAATAACAAGAATAGCAGAGTAGAGACAATGCAAAGCGAGATGTTGGTAGTAAGACAAAATTTTTGCTGGTGGTAGTCCATTAGAAGCGTACGGACGATTTAGCGGACTCGTTGCTCTCTGAGCGGCTTTTAGGTTCAGAAATTTGATGCTCGTTGCTTGTCATGCTAATATATACAGCTTTATATTCACTCGCACGAGTGAACAAGCATTCTGCTCGCTGATACATCTGTACATGGTTTTTTAGACGTCACTGTAAGAAGGAAGAGTGACGATGTTTCTGGAAAATCTCAGGATGATATTCGCAAGAGGGAAGTCGTAGAGTGATCATCTCTTTTCTTACTTTATTATAATCGCCCTCGTCATCCGACATTATTATTTCCCCTTACGCTATACTCGTGGTACCTATAAAAAATTTCTGAAAGCACAAACGAATAATTTTTAACGCAGGATATACCACCGGCGTATTTACTGTGTCGTTACGATGCGATAACAATCATGAGAAGTCGAGCGAAGAGTATAATATTCTCTTAGGATGCTGGAAGGTTTTAACATAGGTACAGTGCATCTCATGGCTTCATTGTGTATGATTCAAAGTCATTAAACCTTGACTAATTTGATAATGATTCTTTATGGAATGGTTAAGGTTTCCAAGCTTTATGTTCTTGCTACAAATTAATAAAGTATTTCATTTTTTAAGATCAATCCTTGGAGCTTTATTCCAACTAGTGAAATCATTTTTAATTTATTGTTGAATGAATTATGCAATATTAAGAATTTTATTGATGTGAGAGTGAGCTAATTAATGTCAATTACATTATTTATATGAAAATAATTAATGTTTTTAGATCATTATTTATTTCGAGACAGTATATTTTCAGAACCTTCATTGATTTTTATTAGTCATTTACACTTTTACCAATTATAAAATCATATTTCTCGTTCAATCACTACATGAACTATCTTTTCAATCTAGTATTAATGAATATCATCAACTGCCTATTTGAAAAGTTGTTGAATTGAGTCCGATTTAAAATTTTGGATATATTTACTTGTTTTATGGTCTCTAGAGCTCAAATTCATCGTTTCTTGTAAGAGACCTGTGTGTACGCGCATTTTTTTAAGTCCCCTATTTCTTAACGATAAATAATGACATCGACTCCGGATCAATTTCATTCGACATGCAATTGTATAATGAGCACGTGGTGAGGGTTACAAAAAATAAGAATTTGCATTCTTCTTATTATTTTTCAATTACAAAAATATTCCAAAGAATGAATATTTCGAATACGGAATAAATGGAGTGGTTTGTGGTCTTTAAGGAGATCAAATGAGAAGTTAAAGGTATAGGTCAACCAGTGAGTGGACCAAATCTTTTTTTCCTAGTCTATTTCATTTATTGAAATACCTGAATGTGAGTTTAATTCAAAAAGTATCTATTAATTTCATTTATATATTTTTTCTGAAATTAATAGATCTTAATACTAAAGTTTAAATAGACTACGATATGAGAGTACTTTTTTTTAGTAAACATAAAATTATCATCATAAATTTAAAGAATTTTTTCTTAACAGCTGTATATAGTTACGATGATTTTGTCAAATTGAGCAAGGGTTTAATGGAAGTACCTTGACGATAGACATTGCGTAATATAAATACATTCAGGAAACTTCTCCGAAAGCTTTCAGTATCTAATGTACATTTTTATGTTCTCGATTATTTATTAATGCAACTCGAAAATAAACTTTTTTCAACTTTTCTACTAACTTCAAGTGCTCCTCAATTTCCAACGAATCTGTCTAGAGATATTTTTACAATATATACATTGATGTAAAATGTGTATAAAAATATGTCATGATCAATAGCATCAGAGTTCTTAAAGTGATTATATTAAATTTTTGTGTTGACATGCAAAAAGGCTATCTATATATTCACATAATAATATCACTAGGTAAAAAATGCAATAAGCGATCATGAAAAAATGATCAAGTGCATTTAATGTCATAACCCCTGAGTTAGGTCAAGGGGCACTTTGAGGGCTCGGTTCAAGTCTCAGTTTTGCTGTTATTCACAAGCAAATGATGTACTGGTGTCAAGTAGTGTCATTGAATCGCAGTTTCTCGTGTCAAAGCTTGGTATGTTGGAATTATCTAGTGTATTTAGATAATATGATCCCATTCTCTAGTTCAATTGACCGTGTTTTCATTTAAACCTTAAACCACATTGGTTTTGTATTTCGATCAAAATATTTGAGTCACTGTAGTAATTGAAAATTTCAACAGATTTTATTTCAGCATAGAAATTATTTATTGATATTCAAATAATATATATAAAAATTTTACCAAGTAAATAAATAAAATTTTGTGTGTAATAAAATTGCTCGTAAAAAAATGTTTTAATATTTTTTCTAATCGAATCAAATGGAATTCTATTAATAAAAAATTGTATTTTATTTCAGCTTGTACACAGAATGAATTTAGATGTAGGAATGGTCAATGTATAGACAGTCGTTATCGTTGCAACGGCGTCACTGAGTGTCATGACAAATCTGACGAGTTGAACTGCCGTGAGTATTGTTTATGTATTGCATGGTTTGCATGGCTGTGTATGAATTCTAAGTGTTTCGATTTTTTAAAACTAATAGTAGAATGATTTTCTATACAACTTATAAAAATATTCATTCTTTTACATAATAAAGCAACAAACTGAATTGTTCATGCTGCTATTGTTATGTCGAACAAAATACTCTAAAGCAGTGAGCTTTCATATGCTTCGGTGTTTTGTTGCAGTTTATTTGTCGTGGGCTGTATTTAACATACGAATCACATGTTCAAAGCTACATTTCCGCTAAATTCTTACTAAAGTTTTTAAAAGTATGTTCTGAATTTTTTTCTAATTTATTTATGTGGTGATTCCTACTATTTTTGTAACTTTAAATACTATCAAAAAATTCTTATTTTTGGTTTAAAATGGAATGCTTTGAAAAAGAATCTGATATTATAATATCAGATTCTTTTTCAAAGCATTCCGTTTAAAACCAAAAATTTATAAAATCGAAAGAATTTTCAATAAAAATTTTATTCTAATTAACTACAGTTTAATTTTTGAAAACGTTTTTTATGTGCATGTATACGTTCCTTTTTGTATTGTTTCAATTTTATATTCTATAAATACCGCTCAATAAAATTTTTTTATCGGTAAATAAATTTTTTACTAACTATAACTCGACAGTAGTTTATTCAATTAATATTTTGAGCTTTTTTTTGTATTCAGCTCTCGTTCTTTTGTGGTATTAATCGGCTTTTAAACAAATTCAATCAAGCTATTTTCAAGAAAACCAAATCAAGTAATTTTTTATTATTGGTTTTTTCTATTTATTATTTATAATTTTTTGATTAAAAAATTTATTGATGATTGAAAAAATTTATCTATGAATTTTTAACTGAGCAAATAATAGTTAAGCTTATCAAAAAAAATCCATTATACTAATTCCGTAAATAATAAATCCATTATGTTTGTCAATTAATGCAAAAAATGAATTGCCTGGCACTAATATAATCACTAGCTTCAAGACATGAAACACTTGCTTGTGCTCTTGGTTCGACAGCAATCTTAACCCGGCTCTTGAAAGTCAAGAGTTACAGATTGAAAGTATGTGTAGCACACATGATCCTCCGTGTAAGTCATATATATGTGTTTATTCCTTGGGGTCTTTCGGAACTCAGTGTATAATAAGTAAAAGGAAGCCGATGGTCCTTACGTATACTAATGTCACCTTTAGCCTGGTTATTATTTATTGCACTGGTGGGCATTATACACATCAAAGTGTTCTGCTGAATGAATAAGGGAGGAAGCTTTGCATGCCTCGGAACTGTGGAACTAATCGCACCATGGACTATAACAGATTACGATGGGACTCAATAATTATAATGGCTGTGACAATAATAATAGCGTGACCATCAGTAGCTCTTCGGTCTTTACGTACGCCGGTACCGACATACCAACTCGTGACGTTGGTGCACGATTAACTAGACAGCAATATTCTAAAGAAGGTCACTGTACTCGTATCATTCGTTTACTCTTCATTCGTGCAAGAACACCGCACCCGTACGTGTTTCTATCGCATAAACCTTCTATGTGATTTTATTTTAAATTTCATACACGGTAATTAATAATACAATTTATTAGATAACTTTTTATACTACTATATTAGGTTATTTACTATATAAGGATTAATTAATCCTTTTTTTTTACTCAAAATTATGCTCGTTGAAACATTTATTTTCACGTATGAATTAATTTTCAATGATTGTTAAAATTCTTTGGAAAGTATATACTTATTGTTTTGTTAATTTTACCATTTTAATGAGATATGTGGAATTTAATTAAAACTGTTTAAATTATTGTAAATACGTTATTAAATATTTTCGACTGAGGCATCAATAATAGGTATAAATATTATCCAACACTTCATTACATAATGTTATTGTTCAATAAATCCTGAACAAAATTTCATTGTATATTTTAATAATAATTTTCTTTTTGTTCGAAATTTAATAATAGTAATTTTTTATTAATTGGATAATTTGAAAAAAATTAAAATCAATCCTTTTTCGAGTGAAAATTTGTACATATATATTTGTCCTGAGAATAAGAAATGAAAGCGTATGTTTAAAGTTGAATACGTAGTCAGCTCCCGCTTTACGCTATTATTTGCTACTGGATTAAATTTCAAGAATTAAATTTTTGCTGTTTTATGAGTCATTAATAATAAATTTATATTCAGAATTAGGGATTTTCGTGATTGCTTCTAACAAACACGTCGAAAAAATTGTACAGTTTATTTCTAAAATAGACAACAAATTTTGAAATTTCAGACAAGATGATTAAATTAAGAAAATATAATTATCGTATTGTGCAACTTATGGTTTAATTTACTTAATTATTTAACAGATTACAAGATTATTTTTACATCAGGTATTATTATTTTTAACATTTTATCAAAAATTTATTAATAAAATGAATTACATTCGAGCTATTTTAAGAGTAAAATGTGTAAATTTAACTATGGGATTTTCGCTTGTCATTCAAAATAACCCAATACCGAGTAATTTGGTAAAATTAGAATTTTTAGGAAAAAATGAAAAATTGATTGTTCGTTAGAACAATTATAGCTGAGTTGAAATCGCTTTAGGGCGTGATAAAAAAGAAGATATGTTGTCAGAATATGTTGAGGGAAAAGCTTTCCGAATGGAATTTTGAGTAGCGTTTATTAGTTGGCCTAATAACTTGCCGCATTTTAATCTGACGTTAATCTCTAGGGAAACTGCGATGCATTGAAGCCTGAAAGGCCGCAATGAGGATCACAGCGTTGGTAAAAATTTTGCATTTTCCCCTAGTGGTTATAATCGAATATCCGTTAGGTACCAGCAGCTTTCTCATTCCATGTGCTCGTTTGGATTTAAATCATTTCAAATCACATTCCTACGTGACGTTTTTTTAACTCACGCAGATGTTATTCTTTCATTCAACGATCAATTTATTAAAATATCTACCAAATAAAATCACATCATATATTTTAAAGATCTTCTTAAGTGTCGCTTTTTGTGGTGCTTATTTCATATATCTCTGTGACCAATTTGATCATATGTGTATATTTATTAAATTGTCAATGTCACTGACTCCTATCTGACCTCTTCTCAGAAGCATTTGCTTTCTTGCTTCATTTTGTGTCGACGTCTCATGATCATGATTGAGTGAATATCAGCACATAGCGATTATGTAATTTAATAAGAACATTTTTTTTCTTCTTTTCATTTTCTATTCGTGTTCATTTGTGTCAGTGTTTCTACTTATTTACTACGGTTTCAATATCGAAGGTAGATTTCTTTACAAATGCAAATAAATAGTGTAAAACCGACAATTCTTACAGCATGTAAAGAAGATGAGTTCGAATGTGCAGCACTATTTTGTATTTCCAAGAAAAGGAGATGTGATGGCATTCATGACTGCTCCAATGGTCGTGATGAAATGAACTGCGACAACAACAGTATGGATTTGTATAATTATTCAATAAGTATTATATGAATTCAATCGTCAGATTGGGCTAAAAAAGATGACATTTCTTAGGTTCAATTTTACCTAAAGTATAGTTTATGGAATAATTGAAATCAATATTAATATATTATATTAAGGGGAATATTAAATTAATAAGAAGGTCAATCGTTGGCAGAAAATTGATGAATAATTTAGATTACATTTTTCGGTTTTACATTTATTGAAGCATACTCTTCATATTGTTAGACACTTGGACATTATGCATGCAGCACGAATTATATTTAAAAAATTAATATAATAGTATTTTTAGAATATCTGAGTTTCATACAGGAGAAAGGAGGGTAAAGTGGAACACGGGAGCAAAGTGAAATGCTCGAGAAAATGTACTAATTTATTAAAATAAGTTTGAAAACGCTTATTGTACTTTTGTTTAACAATTTTTCAATCTATTAATGCATTAAAAGTTATTAATATTCATTAATGTAATAGTTAATTTGTTAATTTACGTTTTTTCTTGGTATTCCACTTTACCCTACTTTCCCTTAATAAGTAAGAGTGTTGGGTAGATTATGAATGCATAGGATTACAATTTTATTCGAAATGTTTAGTCATTATTTTGAAAAAGAATAAAGTTTCATTTCAAAGTGATTATTCATTATTTTTTAATCTTTAAAAAATTTAGTACTTTAAGTTAATCTTTTTCTTCATTTTAATGTATTATTTAGCTGTTCGTTGTTCCCCTGATCAGTTCAGATGTGATGATGGTAACTGCATCAATGGATCAGCGAGATGTGATGGTCGGAGTGATTGTTATGATCGGTCTGATGAAAGAAATTGCACTGGTATTTTTATTTTATTTTATTTATTCAATTTTTTTTAATGTTTATAATCATATTTTTCTAATTTTTTATTACTAATTTGAATATTAGTTTATTATTATTTTACTTGAAAAAAATGAATATAAACGATTTAACAATGATTATCATTATTTTACTTTTAAGGAATAAAATTGTTTATCTAAAAAAAGTATGACTAATAAGTGATAACAAATTTGATTATAGTGAGCACTTGCAGCAGTGATCAATTCCGATGTGCGGATGGAAGCTGTGTGAGTATCGACAAACGTTGTAACGGAAACAATGACTGCAGAAATGGAGAGGATGAGAGCCAGTGCGGTAAGTAATATTTGTCTGATCATTAATGTGTTAAACTACTGACAATATAAAAACAGCCATCATAAATCCAGAGATTTCAAACTCTCGACTATTTTTTACTAATTGACATATTCGAAACATCAATTTTGTTTAAAACAACAAACCATTAGTTCAGACGGATAACATAAATGATAAATTTGTACTCGAAGAAGCTTTCGACCCTCTCGATTTAGTACGCTGACCGAACTTTCCGTGGATAGGGTTATCGGATCGATAGGTTAATCTTGAAAATTTCGACGAGATCGTGTAGAGGTTTCTTGCGGGCTTGTAGAATGGGTAATGGAGTAATCGAAGGGTAAAAAAGAAGGTGGTGGCTGCTGATTATTGTTATAAAAAAATTGCGCATGAGTGGTGCTATCTGCTATGTGGATCAGGTTGTGGAGCTACGGAATTTCGTTGCGACAGTGGCCAATGCATCCCCTACCAATTGCAATGCAATGGTGTCAACGATTGCCAGGATGGATCAGATGAAAACGAACAATGTGGTAACTATTGCTATTCTTTAATCATGCTTTTATGACATTTTTCATTAAATATTTTTACATTAAATACTTTTTTAAACCTCGAAGAATTTAAATATTGAAATTTTTTTTTAACCAGTTAATTAATCATTTTAATCATTTAATGATCTCCCATCATTGAAATAAAACATTACCTAATTTCATTCATATTCACTATAGAAAAACACAAATGGCATAAATATAACACAAAAACAACACGAGATAAAACAAGAAAAACGAAGATAGAGAAAAATAGAGAAAATAAACGCATCAAGCCGCTGAGGAAAAAAGATCAAACAATAGATTTCCCTTTTTCTGGAAAATATATTATGGATTCTATTTTGGAATCTTTTCCAGAACTAGAAAAACTTTCATCCAATGTTTTAAATGAATATAAAAATAGATCGGACCACAATTGGGAATGGGCGAGAAATTCAAATATTAAATACCCATCGATCAACCGGAAAACAGTTGAGTCAATAACAAACAAGAGTGACAAATTGAATTATCAAGTTAAGCCGATTAAGCCTAGTCAGAATCATTCAGCAAGAAAATCACTGCGAAAAATATTTCCGCAAGTAGTTAGAAATAAAGATGTAACACGGGTCGATCTACATTTATTAGGAAGTAAACGAAAAAGAACAAAGACAAAAATAAAACGTCCAACGATTCTTTCTTACAAATACAAAATGAACGTTAATCAAACTTCAATTCCAAGTTATCAACATATTGGACAGTTCCTGAGTAAGGAAAAGTCATTGACTCCGAGTTATAAATACTTTAAAAAATGGCTAAAATCATTCTGGAACAAAGGGCAAACTGAAACTTTCAAAGAATGGCTTGACGAATATAATTCAATTATAAAAGAACGACGAAAAGATATAGAAAATATAAGAGATAAATACAGAACAATAATGCCAGAAGATCAAAGGTTTAAACAATTTCTGATGTTTCCTAAATGGTCAAAAAATCTCACTACGGTGAAAACAAATTGGGATAAATTTAATGCTACGAGAACCAAATTCATTTTTACTACATCAACTGTAGCTCCGAACATATTCCAAAAATCTAAAAAAGTCGATATAGTGATATCTGAGATTTCAAATGATATCCAATCGGTCATTTTAATTAAATCACCAAAAGATCAAAAAGATAAAAAAATGAAAAACATTGATGTAACTGAAAATAACAGAAGGATTAAATTGAAAGCTTTTAATAAAATAACAACTAATGACATCAATAATGATATCAATTCATACAATTTAATAAAGACGAAAGATAAATCTATCGGAGAATTTAAATTTGACGAATCAATGAATAACAAATCTGATGCTTCATTATTTCAACAAATAAACAAAGATACTAAACAAAAATTAAAACCGATTTTCAATCCACATAATATCTTTGAAGCGACAAAAGGCAATAATATGATGAATCATAGACAAAATAAACACATTCCATCAATAATCCATCACTCACGGAAACATAATTTAACGAAATTTTACCTGTTTGTTGATGTACCGACAAAAGCTAGCAAAACTAAAAATTATTTTGACAAATACAAAGTTACGATACATAAATTAAATCAATCGGATACTGAAAAAACTTCTAAATCAATAGAAAATAAAGTTTATTTTCGTTATAAACGATCAGAAAGCAGTGATCTAGATAAGTGGAATGAGACCTCGAGTGAAAATAAAATAATCGAAAAAATTGAAAATGTAAATAAATTAAACAAGGTAAAAATTTTAATGAATAATAATCCATCTGATTTATTGAATATTAAAGCTGATAAGTTAGAGTATGTTTTAAAAAATGATACCTTTAACGTAACATTCAGTGGCGTAGAAGACTCTAATATTATTATTTATAATGACACTCTTTTAAATTCAACTGCACAAAAGTGTGATGTTGAATGTGGATTTATGAAAAATACAGATCTGGAATTACAAAACAGTACAATAGCAAACCAATCGAACGAAAATTTAGATTTAAAATTGATAAATTCAAAGGAATCAAATTATGTAAGTTCAAATACATTGGAGGTTGTGCCATTGAATAGTGTAAGCGTTGAAGGGATGATTAAGACAAGAATTAAGGATGAAAAAGGGAAAAAGCATAGGGAGAGGTTCAAAGGAAATAAAAGTAACAGAAACAACAGAGAAAGGAATAAGAATAAGAGAAGAAAATCGAGAAGAGGAAAAAAGAAAAATGAAAAGAAGAAAGGTAAAAATGGTAATGGAAGAAAAGGAAAAATGAATAAGACAACAACAACTACTACTACTACTACTACTATTACTACTACTGATGACACTGCTGCCAATAGTACTCCTTCATCTACTACCATACGAAGTAGTAGTAGTAGTAGTAGTAGTAATAATTCCGTAACTTCAACATCAGAGAACATTTTAATGTTCTCCTCATTTGAATATTTTTTAAATACATCTGATATTAATGCTACTACGGATTACCCTAATAACATGTTATCTACAACTCCCGTATTGTCATCACCATGTTCTTGGTGGATTTTTAGTTGGTTCTGGGGTTGTCCTTTTCCAGAGGTTCTTCCAGAAGTTTCCGAAGATCCTTCAATGATTGGCCTATTTGATGATTCCAATTACAGTAAATTTAGTTTACAAGAGCAAATCAATTTGTCGTTGGAAAACACAAGTGTATCATCAAAAACTCTAAAAGAAACGGTTGGGTCAGGACTATTAAAAAAATCTATCAATAATACTGATATAAACAATAATCAAGTTGATGTAAAAATGCCGAGAACTGATTATTCAGAGAATGCTATTGACTTAGATTTAAACTCTAGATTATATGATCAAGAGTTGGAATTTGATTGTCCCAATGGGGAGCACCATTGTGATGGATTGTGTGTTGACATTGAAAAAATCTGTGATAAAAAGAATGATTGTTTAGATGGATCTGATGAACAGGGTTGTGAATATTTAGATTACCTGGAGGATGACATCAGGAATGCAAAATTACAGCATAAAACGCCAACGATATATGAGCCTAAGGCACTTAAGAGTATATCAGCAACAACAAGTGGTCTTCATCAACCATTAGGATGCAATCCTAAAAAATACTTTCTTTGTAATGATAGACTAGCATGTATTCAACGTACACGTTATTGCGATGGACATTATGATTGTTATGATGGATCTGATGAGGATTCAGACTTATGTGAATATTACAGAGACGAAGGTATTAAACAATAAATAAAGTAGTAAAAAAATAAAACTGTAAAAAGTTATCAACTAAATATAAAAAAGGGAAACTTCGTTACGTCTTCTATGTGTTTGTATCTATTTAAATCTGTTGTAATATAATTTCACGAGAATGTAAATGAGGAAGGCACCTCAGCTGCTGATGCTGCAACTTTCAAGTTTTTGCAAAAAAGCTTCGAAAGAATATGGTGACTTCGCAAGAAATGGTCATCGACACTAGTTATTCGACTATCAGCTTATATATATGTCCAAATTATTTTTTTCAGGTTTTTGTACACTTTTTCATTACACCACATATTTAATTATCATAATCTTCGATTAAATCATAACATTGTACATAGTACATGAGCAGAGTTAGAGCTGCTTCTGATCTTAAATAGCTTTAAAAAATGTTGTAAACTATTGAATGGATAACGAAGGTTAATTAATTGGTGCTTTTAGAGTATTTACAATACAATTCTATTATATAGTTGCTTTAATCGTTTATCTGTTCTCTTAGCTTATGTTATTCGCGTTTCGATTTAATTATGCTATTTATTCAATGAGCCATAGCGAAAGTATTCAATAATAAATCGAGAGATCGTATCATTTTATACACAACTGACTGTCAATGGTTTCGATTATATATCTGTTATAAACAATAAAATACTATTAATTGAAAAATGTGAGGATAATAAATAATAAATAGATGGTGAATGACTCATCCAAAGTTCAACCTCAGAGAGTGATAAATTATGAGTTACTTGTGCATAGTTTACTTTTTATTTTTTCAACAAAGTATATTTTCATTTTTACATTTTGTTATTTATTTCATAAATTTTTTATACATTAGTCAAAGTTAAGCTCAAACAACACATATTTATAGCAATATTTACACAATTTTTTATTTCAACGAAATTATATTTTTATAAATTTTTAAAAAAGTTTATAACTAAAATAGTCTAATAAATTGAATTATTTGGATAAAATCATAATCATTTGATATTAATCTTCTTTTTCAAAGCAAAATATCAAAAGTTAAAAAAAAAATTTTCATCTAGTTCAATGTAGACGTCACTCAATGAGTTCATAATATTCTATTACTTCAAAGTAAACATAATGGAACACATAAATCATCAGTCTTTTTGCAACCGCTCAATATCAAGTATACTAAAACGATTAAAAATAATCTTGATGTATACACGAATGAATTTTAATTATCACTGTCTGGAAATTAAAATAGCATGAATAAATCGAAACGTTGAATCAAGAGCCATACTTTTATAATACCGGCCATCGCAGGTTTGGCACCTTGCCCATCATCGGACTACACCTGTGAGGATGGCTCTTGTATTCCACAAAGCTCTGTCTGCGACGGATACGACGACTGTCCGCGGGCTGAGGACGAGCTTAATTGCGGTATAGAAACTATTTTTGTGCTTGCTGGTTAATTTTTATCAATCTCAATTAACTCCTGAATTTAATTAACATAACTATTACTATAACAGTCCCAATATATATATATGAAGAAATTTTAACTATTTGTTATTACTTGTAGATCCAATGTACCTGTTGCTATCTAACGCGATTGTAGATTTACAACTGACGGTAATGGTCTCCCAACAATCTTTAACTAGACCTTGCGCGTTAAATTCATCGATAGAGTATTGTTGCGAATGTATTTATTGATAAAGCTTTATAAATGTTTGTCTTTCTAATTGCAATAGCTTTTGTCTCTGGAATTTTTTAATTAATTTATCAAATATAACTATATCAAGTACTGGTGGGAGTGCCGCCACGTAAATAAGTAGATTTAAAAGACAAAGTATTGCAGCTTTCTGCATTGTTGATACAGTCGCATAATGGGCGCATACAAGCCGATTATCGTGTACGACCTTTCCGCATCGATTTAAAGTTTTACATCCGATATAAAGCAGACAAGTACTTGAAGTTTGACTACTTTCTAACTTTTAGTAAATTGTCTATAATTCTTGTATTTCTAAACGAATTATAAAAGTTGGAATCGATCAAGGAAACCTAAAATTACTGTAAGAAATCCCTAAGTTCCTCAATCAATTCCAGATCCTTTGATTTTTGTTTATTTTCTTTGAGGTTGATGGAAGCTAGATTATGTTTTATTAAATATTTTCAATTTCTCAGTGGGAAGTTATAGTAATGGGTCCGATTTTGACATATCTCCACGTTTCAAGGTTCCTGGAGTCGACTGTAACAGTTTTGAAATGGTTGTTTCTGTGCGTGCACGGAGAGAATTTTTTCACAAAATGTAAATGATAGTAAATTTTGAGCTCTTGTAAGTAAACTTGTGACTTAAAAGGTGTCTTAGTAAAAGAATTACTTAGTAAAAGAGTTATTAAGATAACTCAAAAATTACTTACGACAACCTAAAATTCACTGTTAAACAGAAATATTTGTACTTATATATTTCGAAACGTGGGCTTTTCATTTTTGCACTTACATTTGGTGAAAAAAATTGTCCGTGTGTGAGTATGTGCGTTCAGAGTTATTTTTCGTCTCAATTATCTCGAGAACAAAAAATGATACGCAACTTAAAACTTATTAGTTTTTCAGCAAAATCAGTCCAGACATTTTTTGTGTAGAATAAAAAAAGTGTTTAAAAATGGTAAACTATCTGAATTTTGCAATTTATGTAAAACTTCCATGCGTGATCTTTAATCATAATTATCATTATAATTAATATAATTATAATAATTATGACCATAATAATAATAATAATAAAAATAATGGATTTTAAAAACAAAAAAATTTTTCCATTCTTTCCACTGGGAAGTTAGTCGTGTGGGATATTTCTTTTTAATTCTATCTACATGGGAATTGATTTTCAATATAATTTACATTTTTTAAAATTTTTATTTTGATTTAAAAGTAACCAACCAAAAGAACTTCAATTTATCTTCCAGCCTTCCTCGAACTAATTTTTAAGTCATGATTGTTATTGTTAAAGTTAAAAAGCTTTTACACAATACTTATTGCTTCACCGCTTGATGAGCTCTTGTCTATGTTTATTTATTTTTTGGCGATCGTCGCTGATAGCAGACCGGGGTTGTACACCCACTCAGTTCCGATGTGCTACTGGTGGCAAATGCATTGAAGATATCTACAGATGTGATGGTCGTCCTGATTGTCCTGATAGAAGTGATGAAGATTGTGGAGAGAAAAGTATCACGAACGATACTATCACTCACGTTACCTATCCGCATAGTATGCTATACTTATGTTTTCTATTATATTTTCATCATATTTTTTTATTAATTAGTTATTCAATTTATAATAATCACTCCTTTTACTTGATTTAATTGAAAATTATTTTACGCTTTTGTGGGTATGTTAATATTAAAATTGTTACTGTCCAAGTCTCTTTGTTTGTCTTGCATTGAATGTGATAATAAAATGAGCTTGGTATTTTGCTTTAAACAAAAGTTCATAAAAAAGGTCGTGACAATTGGGTGTGTATGTGCAAGTAGATTCGTCTGCACCTGGGTGGCCGGTGGAATGTGATCCTAGAACAGAAATGACTTGTGGAGACGGTACATGCATTTCTTTAAGGCGCAGATGTGATGGTAGACCTGATTGTTATGACAACAGTGATGAACGCGATTGTGGTAAGATGGAAGCTTTACTCCAGCTATTCTGTTCTGTGATTTTATGTTTTTCTTTATTTTTTGCTTTTCTTCTTTTCTGTTTTATATTTTAACGGGTATTTTGCTTTGAACATTTATTGGGTTTCAATCGTGAAGGATCATGTGAATCCAACGAGTGGAGATGCAGAAGTGGTGAATGTCTATCCAAAAGAGTAAGGTGTGACGGTCGACGTCATTGTCGTGACGGATCTGATGAGGCCGGATGCGGTAATTACATTAATTAATCACTTTGGCGATTACACATTCGAGACGTTTATTATAAATAGATGCAACTATTTATTCAAACAATTGTATTCATAACATGAAGTTTCATGATTTTTCATTCTTGCACAGAAGATAAAATTTATTTTAGCGATGACATTTTTCTTTAGATCTTTCATGATTTATTCATTTTTCAAATAATGTTTTAACATTCCTATTAAATTAAATTGACGAGATTTCTTTTTTATTACCAAATAAAATATTTTAAATAAATAAATTTGTTTTGATGAAAAATTCGGTATATTTTTCGATAAATTAAAAATTTTAAATACCTTTTTTTATTTTTGTCGTGGATACCTATAATATCGAGGTAAAAAATGTCAACTCGTCATGGCGCTCAATTATCAATGTCCTTTGATTAAATATAATTAAAATTAATGAAACTAATCTATTATTATTCTTAAAAAAATTTTTTTTTACTCAATGTTCCATCAAAATTGGCACAAAGAAACGTTTCCAACATTAAAATGAATACAACTATTTTCATGCTGTGCACGAAAGAAATATATGTTCCATTAAAAAAATCAAAAAAATGAATAAATGAAATTTATAGTTACTGAGTGTCCGGCCAGAATGTTTCATTGTGACAACGGATCGTGCCTTGATCAAAGACGACGTTGTGACGGTCGTCTTGATTGTCATGATGGATCAGACGAGCTTTATTGTCGTACGGATAATCAATTTAATAATTTAATTCACCTTCTTTTCGTTTTTTCTTTATTAAAAGTATTTTCTAACATAAAATCTCTCTTAATAATTCTCCGCTCTTATAATAATTCATATCTGGTATTTATCATTATCCAGCACGTCGAATGACCAGCCGTGAACTTTACCGATATGTATATTCGTGTTCTCGAATATTTACTGCATGACGGAATGCAACTATGGAATTTATCATCGACTTGGTCGCGCTATCTCGATGCCTGTCACTAATTAACGATCTGACATTTAGCCGGAATGGATCGCTCGCGTCCTGTAACATGTCGTCCACTTATTTACCACTGTCTTGTATATTTTATATATTTCAGCACTAAATAATATTTTTCTAGTAAACGATATGATTATTCAAGTAACACTTATATATTTATCTATTTATATAATTATACTAATTGATTGCATTATTAATTATCAAGGCATCCACTGTATTCTACATTATCACTTTATCTATTTCAGCACAGGTTGCCTGATTTCTCGTACACGATCAATACATTTAAACTAGCATAAGTAACTGACCATGAGTAGTGTAGCTCTCTGTAGAATCATCAGATTATATCATGTGACACCACTATTATCTTTATGCACACATCTATTTCTTTTTCACTTTACAGCTCATACTTTTTTATCATAAAAAAAAAAATGTATTTGTTTGATCCACTGTCTCTTCTAAGCTTCAAATCGATAATATTTTTCGAGTACGATCAATAATTGCATGACAGAAAGCAATGTGCACGCAATTTTACTTTTTCTACGTCAACTTTATAAGAGTGTTCGAATTTTTAATGGCTCTTATGGAAAATTACGATCACTTGACTATTTTTATGATAATTCTTTTTTGACGTTTACTATTCTAATTAAATTTTATTACTTTCTTTTTTATATTGCATTCGTTTATGATTTTAAAGACGTGCACATCGCTCTTTCAATTTTTTTTTTTTTCAATACTAACAGAAATCTAATTATAAAAATTTAAAGGGTTGTCTAAAGTTTACAGGGAAATAAATTTTTTGCAGAAGCTACCCCCTGTCCTGATGGTCAATTACCTTGTGCCAATGGTGTTTGTATTTCTAAACAATTCTTCTGTGATCGTCATGTAGATTGTCATGATGGAAGTGACGAATTTAATTGCTGTAAGAAAAATATTCTAATTCAAATAACAATTGTTCTATAATTGATTATTGATAATAGAAAATAATTCATAGTGTTAACATAATTTATTTCAAAAAAACTGGAGGAAAAATTCAATTTACTTCATAAAATTATTTTTCTTCTCTTAATTACACCAAAAATATCTCTGTAAATTATTTATCTTTTTATGATGATAATAGACGTTTACTCCAATAATACTTAGTTCTATGTTTACTAAACATCAGATATATCTATTTTCACCCTCATTTTAACATTATATTTAGAAACTACTTTACCATTTTACTGTCTAAAATTAAATAAATCCAATATTTCGTTAAAGTCATTTGTTACTTAAACTTGACAAAGCTATACAACAAAAATACTTTTTAATTTGATGAAATATTCATTAGTAAATGTATTAAAAAGTCCAAAATGAATTGACAATGTGATGTATAAAATTCTTCTTTATCTGAATAGGGTATTTTTAATTTCAATAGTTAATTGATTATAATTCGATTTTGCCAGCCCATATTCCCATGGAAAATATCATCAGATACTGATGTACAAAATTTTATTGTTTGCTTAACGATTGAAAATTACTTTTGATGAATAATGAGGTCACTTGAGTATAAATAATATAAAAGTATTAATTATAATTAACTAATTTGAGCTTAATGGATCTTTATTGTAAAATTTTAAGTCAATGACCTATTCGATAAAATAGTTATGAAATGATACTTTTATGATAAAATATTGTTGTTACTAAAAACTTTTGAATACGTGGATAGCTTCAATTACCAAATTATTGTACAATATGTTTAATTATGCATGTTGTTGTAACTATAATTATCTAACGAGTGCAGTTAAAAATAAATTTTTATGATTTTACAGCCAGCAGCTCGACGTATCCACCTACCACTGAATGCAGAAGTGATCAGTATACATGTCGAGATCGTACTTGTATTCCACAGTCAGCAGTTTGTGATGGGCGTCAAGATTGTATTACAAATGAGGATGAATTGAATTGTCGTCGTAAGTATTTTTTATCAAATGATAAACTATATTAATGTCTTCTCAAAACTCGTAGAAAAATATGATAGACAGATTAATATTTATTTTAAGAGTTGATGATTTTCTTTAGCAAAAATGATAGATTGGACGATGTAAATATTACAAGTTGGAATTAATGTCATATGAATGAATGGCTGAGCTGTAAACCAATGAAACAATAACCAGTATGATGGTGCGTGCTTGGGTTACTTCTAGGTATAGATGAGACTTGGCATAAAAGTTCTTCAGGGATATGGAATCCAACAAATGTGGAAAAATCACAGGCTAATGTGAATTTTACCTCACCCAAGAGTTGTGGAACAAACAGTTTTGTTTGTGCTGATGGCACATGCATTCCCGCAGCTCATCGATGCGACAATTTCTACGATTGTCGTGACTTTACCGACGAACAGTCTTGCATCGGTTAGATTAAAGACCACACCATCACAGTCTCTAGTGATGGAATATAAATTTCCATCTAACTAACTATTTGATTTTTTGCTGAGTTATTTTTTTATTGATTCATATCTTGAATTCTTTGTCGATCGATGTTAGCATCGAATAGATTATATGTAGAAATTAAACTTAGTAGAATGTTTTCATTCATCTTCTGTTCCAAGGAAGATATATTACATAATTTGTTTCATTATATTACAACTGTTAAAATGATAAAGGAATCTATCTGGACGACTTTAATGCTTAAAAAAATCAATAACTTAAGTTAAAATTTCAAGATGTCAATTACCACAGATTAATTGAACAATCTTTTTATTTTGCTAGCTCTTTGAGAAAATTATTTAGATCCTGTTATATCATCATTATTGAGTTGTTGAAATCGATTGATTTGATAAAAAAAAAATTTTTTTGACTAAAAATGAATTAAACTTGTTCAGATGTTCTTAAAAAATGTTTGTATTTATTAGAGGTAATTTTGTGATTAGTGCATCTTTGCCTGAAAACTTTATTAGACTATTAAAGTTCGTAAGTTAGATCCATAAGTAATACATGGTTTGAACCATTTATCTATAAGAAATATGTAATGCATTATCGATAATTTTATTCTTCTGGTATATTTAGAGTCATTAACATGATTTTTTAAAATTGCAGCTTTCCTTGGTTTGTCCTGTGTAACAATATTCATCAATTTGATGTATTTGTAATGAATAATATTTTACTTTGAATTATATCATCGCAATATTTGTTTTATTTTAATTGTAGCTCATTCTAGTCTTCATGTACTAGTTGATAAATTGAGAAAAAAAAGTATCATTGATTATTAAGCGTAAAATATGTATTCGTGATTATTCATTTTTGATGTTTGTTTTAAATAATAGATTGACTAATAGAAAAGAAATTCTAATATTATTTTTTCCTTCTGTAGATCAATGCTCAAGAGGCCAATTTCGATGCAGCAATGGTGATTGTATTTCTAGTAATCAGAAATGTAATCGAGTCATTGATTGTGATGACGGTTCTGATGAAGAAGGCTGCGGTAAGTTACTCATAATCACGAATGAAAATAAACTTATAAATTTTGCAATTTATGCTAATTTTTTTTTTATTTCATAATATGTGGATTTCTGAAATTAGAAATTACCACAGTTCCTACATTCCTGCCAGAAGGACATCATTGCCCAACCGGACAATTTGCTTGCATTTCGGACAGATCATGTGTTTATTACTCAGCACGTTGTAATGGTATTTCTGAATGTCGTGACAGATCTGATGAAGATGACTGCGGTAAAGACACTTTTCTATTTTTAGATTATTTTATGAATAATTGAATGAGATAATTTTTACTTAAAAAAAGAATAGATGATAATGGAATTCAAATTGTAATTACAGATGATGACGCTAACAAAGGTGGACTTAACATTAAAACATATCCAAGTGAACAACTGATTAAAGAAAGTAAGTTGCATTGCAAAAATTTTTTCATGAAAAATTGCGTTTATATTAGAAAAAAAATCATTCGAATTCGAGTTAGTATACATAATAGTAATGGAATAAATTAATTATTAATAAAATCAATTGTTTCTCTGTTTCTTGCACTGGCTAGACCCGGCGCGGCAAGGTAAGAGATTTAACAGAAAATAGCCATTGAAATCATGCTATAATAGCTGTCTCTCATTGGGTTAATTAATAGCAAACAATAATCCAACATAAGCTTGTCATAAATCAGATAAAATTTACATACACATCACTTGGAATATTATAATAAATATAAAATTTAAAATCATATATTCATTAGTTTTATAAAATAATAATCAATTGAATTGAATTAATAAGTATACTTACAGGATTTTCGCTTGAACTATTTGTTTTTTACTCGTAATATAGTCAATATTATTTCTTGTTTTAGATATTTTTGTAATAAAATTTAACAGGTTCTTCTATATCAACATAAATGACTCATGCCATTAAATATAAAACTTGAAAGATTAATGCTGCATGCAAAACTACATATCAATCGGAAATTAAATAAACAATTGACTAAAAATATACATATTGCATGTTTTTAAATAAATTTCTTCTTTCCAGGTTACGAAGTTGTATTCCACTGTCGGGATGAAGGAAATCTTCGAGCTGAAGTACGATGGCTTCGTGGAAATAACTTGTCTCTTCCGCCAGGATCTCGAGACATAAATGGCCGTTTAGAAATTCCTAACATTCAAATTGAACATGCAGGACCCTACATATGTGAAGCTGTAGGTTATCCACCATCAGTTCCAGGACAACGAGTTACTGTTAATCTTCAAGTGGAAAAATATGATCCTCCAACAGCGCGACCACCACAAGTTTGCAAATACGACGAAGCAACTTGCAGTAATGGCGATTGTATTCCGAAACCTTTCGTATGTGATGGCAAATTCGATTGTACTGATGGATCAGATGAAATGAGATGTAATCCTCTTGGATGTGAACCCAACCAGTTCCGTTGTGCTAATAAGCAATGCGTAAGTAAAATCTGGCGATGCGATGGAGATAAAGATTGTACTGATGGAAGTGATGAAGAGAATTGTGGGACACCACCACCTGGATCTCCTTGCCGATATGATGAATTCCAGTGTCATCAATTTGATCAATGTATACCGAAAAGTTATCACTGCGACATGGAACGAGACTGCCAAGATGGTAGTGATGAAATCGGCTGTTCTTTAGTGTACATTACGAAGCCTCCTGTACCAATGTTGGTTCTTGAACCAGGAGATACAATGATTTTAACATGTTCTGCTGTTGGAGTACCTATCCCTGAAATAAATTGGCGTTTAAACTGGGGTCATGTACCTTCTAAATGCGATTCAGTATCTGTTAATGGTACTGGAACCCTTACATGTCCCGACATCACTGTTTCTGATCAAGGAGCATACTCTTGTGAAGCTATAAATGTCCGAGGTTTCGTTTTCGCTATTCCAGATACTATTTTAACTGTAAATGAAACTTCAGTTGTATGTCCTAAAGGAACATTTAATTCAGAAGCAAAAAGACCTGAAGAATGCATTTCTTGTTTCTGTTTCGGAGTTGCTACGGAATGTAGAAGTGCTGACTTATTTATTTATCAAATTCCACCTCCATTCGATCGTCACAGAGTTTTAGCTGTTGAGTTGTCTTCAACATTACCGAGAATTAAAGGAGAGTTGGGAAGTCAATCATTAGAAGTAGTACCTCTTGGTCGAGACGGAGTTGATATATCAATGCCTTATTCTAACGAATTATCATCTTATGATATTCCCTATTTTGCACTTCCTGAAGTTTACCACGGTAGTCAACTTAAATCGTATGGTGGATATTTACGGTACACAATTAGATATAGCGGCAGTGGAAGACCAAATAACTCTCCGTCCGTAATTCTAAGTGGAAATGGAAATATATTAGTTCATCGAGGACAGTCTCACGTGTCTGATCATGAAACAGAAGAGTCTGTTAGATTTTTCTATGGCGAGTGGTATAAAATTAATAATGGATCAGAACGATTGGCTACCAGACAAGATATTATGATGACACTTGCTGATGTGGATAATATTCTTATTAAAGCTAAATATGATGACTCTCCACAGTTAGATGTTACTATTACTGATATTCTTATGGATACTGCGGATTCTAGAAATACTGGATTAGGCAGTGCCAGCTACGTCGAAGAATGCTCATGTCCAACTGGTAATTATATTTAATTTTTTTAATAATTTAAGGAATTATGTTTATCAATAAAAAAACTCACTTTTATTGTTCCAGGATATACTGGATACTCTTGTGAGCATTGTGCTCCTGGATACCTTCGACGTAAAAGTGGCTCATGGCTTGGAGAATGCTACAGTGATAAACCGCCTTGTCCTCCAGGTTATTATGGAGATCCATCACGAAATATTCCCTGCGCAGTTTGCCCATGTCCTTTGACAAATCCTGCTAATCAGTGAGTCTAATGTATTTATTATTTTTAAGATTTTATAATAAGTATTTTTTAAATAAAAATTTATAAATTTCGGCAGATTTGCTCGTACATGTCGCCTTGGATCAGATCGTCAGCCTATTTGCGATTGTCCTCCAGGTTACATTGGAAAAAGGTGTGAACAATGTGCCGCAGGCTACCATGGAAATCCACTCATTACCGGAGATATGTGTGTTCGTGATCAACAATGTGATCCTCACGGAAGCTTAACACCTACAGCAGATTCCGAAGGAAGATGCCGATGCAAGGTAATAAAAAAACTTCAATTTACTCTATTAAAATATTAGTAAATTATTTCAATGATTCGAATATTTTTTGAATTGTTGGAATTATAAACAATATTGTTGTCAATGTTTCATTACTTACACATTCTTTTGGAACTGAAAATATGTGAGTATTTATAATTTCATAAAAAATACTACAAGTTTCTAAAAATAAATATAATTGATAAATATTTTTCTCGTTACAAAGTCGATGATAATTAATGTTGAACAATTAATGCTTTCAATTACATTTTAATATTAAAATTATCTTTAATAATGGCTGAAAATAACTTCAATAATTAGCTGATTGATAAATCAGTAGAAAGTTTTATTGATGAAATTCTTATGCGGCAAAATAACTTTTATATACCTGATTGAATCAATTAAAAGTATTTTCTTTCGGAAAGTTTATTTTTTAATTGCTTGAAATTTAAAATGAGTGAATGATATAATTAGATCAATAATTAATAAACGTATTGAATAGAAATAAAATGAATCAATAAAGTTAAACAATAGTAATAAATAATGTGTTAATTTTTCAGCAATACGCCACTGGTTTAACTTGTGACCAATGCAAGCCAAACACATTCAATTTAGCTTCGAAAAATCAATTTGGATGTATAAGCTGCTTCTGTATGGGGATTACAGACCGATGTGTGTCATCAAATTGGTTTAGAAGCGAGGTAAGAATCAATATTTATTTAATCAAACTATTTTGGATCATTTTTATAATATTTGTATTATATTTATTCATACAATTATGTGTTTTGTAGATCCATGTATCATTTACTAATTCAATCAGAGGTTTTTCATTGATTGAAACATTAAATCCTAATGCACCATCAATAACATCTGGTATCCGGCTCGATTCTTCAAGACGCGAAATAATTTATAGTGACTTTCCAAACCGTGGACAAGGAGATGTTTATTATTGGCAACTTCCTAGTATATTCTTAGGTGATCAAATAACATCATACGGTGGTAATCTTAAATATTCTGTAAGGCATGTGCCATCACCTGGAGGTCAAAGTTCCAAAAATAATGCCGCCGATGTTGAATTAATCAGTGCAAACAATATTGATCTTCATTATTATTCTCGTGAATCTATAGAACCCAATTCCCTGCAATCTTTCACTGTTCCAATCTTAGAACAATTTTGGCAACGAGCTGACGGAAGCCCTGCTAACAGAGAACACTTGTTGATGGCCTTGGCTGACGTTCAAGCTATAAGAATTAAAGCAACGTACACAACTCATACTGCTGAGGCTGCACTTTCATCAGTATCCTTGGAAACAGCGGAAAAATACAACACAGGAAAAGAAAGAGCTGTTGAAGTAGAAGAATGTAGTTGCCCTGCTGGTTATACAGGACTGTCCTGCGAAGATTGTGCCGTTGGTTACTCTAGAGTAAATGAAGGTCTTTATTTAGGAGTTTGTGAGCCTTGTACATGTAATGGACATTCTAATCATTGTGATCCAGAGACTGGAATTTGTGAACACTGTGCAGACCACACAACCGGAGATAATTGTGAGCTTTGTGAACAAGGCTACGTAGGAGATGCTACACGAGGAACTCCTCAAGATTGTCGACCCGATTCAGGATTACGTCCGGTAGAAACCTGCAACTGTAATCTAGCTGGTTCCCAGTATAATCAGTGCATAAATGGTCAATGTACATGTAAATCTAATGTAGTCGGTGCTGAATGTAATCGTTGTCGACCTTCAACCTTTGGACTATCTGCAGAAAACCCTAATGGATGTAATGAATGCTTTTGCAGTGGAGTCACTAATCAATGTTATGAAAGCTCACTTTATATTCAACAAATTCCTGTATGGCTCTATGATTCTCACCATGCTTTCACACTGACTGATGCTTCTAGAGCAGACATCATTGAAGATGGTTTTGATCTTAACATTATGAGGAACGAAATTGGTTATCGGTTTACTCCAGCTAATAGAAATCGTCGATTATTCTGGTCTCTGCCATCGGTATTTATCGGTAATCAAGTTAAAAGTTACGGGGGAAACTTGACCTTGACGCAACGATTCACTGCAAGACCTGGTGCTAATCCTCTGAAAGATCAAGATGTAATATTGAGTGGCAATGGAATCACCCTTTTCTGGACTAACTCTCAAGAACCTTATCCTAATCAAACTATCACGTACACAGTACGTCTTAGAGAAACAGAGTGGCGTAGATTATCGAATGAAGGACCCAGAACTGCATCCAGAACTGATCTAATGACTGTCTTATCAAACCTCGAAGCCATACTAGTGAGAGCTTCCTATAGTGAAGGAATGATTGCTTCTTATATCAGTGATGTTAGTCTTGATACAGCCGTAGAAAACCCTGCTGGTTACAAACGTGCCACACAAATTGAAGCTTGTAGATGTCCTCAAGGCTATACTGGAACATCATGTGAGTCTTGTGCTCGAGGATATTACCGAGACATTACAAATAGATCAGTGAGCATCCTGGGCTCTTGTAATTTATGTCCCTGCAATGATCATGAAGAGAGTTGTGAATTAAGCCGAGCTGGACATGTCAAATGCCACTGCCATTCTGGTTATGGTGGCCAATATTGCCAAGAAATAGGTAACTTTATGTTTTAATAAAATTTATTATAAGCTTTTCTTTTAATTGAAACTTTTTATTAATAAATACTAATCATATTTGGCACAATTTTTTGTAAACACTAATTATTGTTGATAAAATTACCACCAAATTAATTTGAACTATTTTTCAAAATAAACTGTTCAATAATACTTTATTCAACGATAACAAGGGAACTTTACTCTAACTATATTTAACAGTGTAAACAAATTTATGGGAATTTTAAAATACTTCAAAGTATAAAAAATTAAATTTATACTTCTTTTTTTATTAACACTATGAATATAAAATGCATGAAACAGTTGCCTCAATGAATAACAGTTACACGCATGATTTAGTGGGGCTGCATGTAGGTTTAATGCCTATTAAACCAGAAGCTGTATACGGTTCTACAATTGAATTTAAATGCGACTACAACCACAGCTATCCTATGTTTATTTACTTCAAATTGACACCATATAATGGACTGCCATTGACTGCATGGGCGATGGAGCCGGGTCCACATGTGCCAACTAATTCTGGAGCATATCGATTGTGGAATGTTCACATTGGTCAATACCCATGCAGCGTTGAGTGTACTATCTTGGACCATCTCGGGAATGAGTTAGCCAAGCTTTCGACATCAATATTGCCAGGTTTCCTTAATGAAAGTCACTTGAAATCGTGTTTGTCTGAGAAACTTTCATCTGTCACTCATCGTGATTGTCTACAGTTCAACATTGATTTAAATTGAATAACTATGTCATTATTTGTATTTGTTTATATAGGATAAATTCAACTTATTTAGACGAAAATTTGTGGTTTAAATGTTAACAACTATTTTAATTCCTGTAATTCTCCAGGTTTTAAATTTTTGTTTCATTTACAGTTGAAGAGCCTGGTACTACAAATCCTACTTATCCATTTGTCAAACCACCAAGAATTGTTGTGACGATTCAAGAAAAGAAATTCCAAATCGTACACATTGGAAGCACTGTGAGATACCATTGTTCTGGAAAATCATTAGATAATGTGAGTAATTGTTAATAAATTAAGTTATATTATTATTTATTATATTATTTATTTGCAATTATAATTGTTATTATTTTATTTACTGGCCGACTCACATTTTTTCAGGCACCACTTCAAATAAGATGGGAAAAAGAAGGTGGACGGCTACCAGATCGAAGTGTAGTTGATGCTCAAGGTTTATTCATAATTCGCGATGTCAAGGTATCAGACAGTGGAGTTTACATCTGTCAAGTCACTGATGGTATTGATATTGCAATTGAGAAAGTTACACTTACTGTCGGAGGTAAATATATCCACTGAAACTTTTTATTAAATATTTATCTAAGATGAATGGAATTAATTTCTTTTGCAACCATCTATAAATCAATAAAACTTTAATTAAATAAATTCATGTATTCATTAATAATGGATGCAGCTTTTCCACAAAGTTTGTTAGATATACCAGGTATTTTTAAAGGAATAACTAAATTCATTGAATATGTAAAATATTAGCAATCATAATAAATCAATCAATCAACAGGTTCTAATCCAGTTGAACCAAAGGCTATCATTCGCCCAGTTTATCAACAAGTGAAGGAAGGTGAACCTGTAGAATTCTATTGTGAAACTACCGGCAATCCTGCTCCAGAAGTTGAGTGGATACGTGTACAAGGGCAAATGAATCCAGAAGCAACTTTCCATAACAACGTATGGAGAATTCCAGCTGTAACGAAAAATGATGCAGCTGAATATAAATGTATTGCTAGGAATACAGTCGGTGTCAATGAGCAAACAACGATTCTTTATGTTACTGATAATCCTGACAAACCACCAACTAATATTCATCCTGATAAAGGTCCTATTATTACTCCTCATGAATGGATTGGTGCTAGTGGGGATATAGTGCGAATGGTTTGTACTCGATCGAATTATCACGCAAGCGTCAACTGGACTCGTTCATCAGGATTACCTCTTCCATCATCCGCAACTCAACGAGATGGAGTTTTAACGATCAGTAACCCTCAACCAATTGATTCAGGTCTTTATGTGTGTATCGCAACAAGTTATCAAGGAACAGAATCAAGCACAAGTGCTCAAATTTCGATTCATACTCGAAACAATCCACCGAGGGTTCAGGTTGAACCAGAAAGACAGACTGTATCACAAGGAACAGGTGCAGAAGTAAAATGTCATATCACTGAATATGATCCAAATCTTCAAATTAAATGGATTAAATATGGAGAATCAATACTGAGACCTAATGTTCAGCAACATGGAAATGTTCTGAAAATTAATAATCCCCAGGTTTCTGACAGAGGAGTTTATATTTGTAGAGTAACAAATGCTGTTGGTACATTTGAGGCAAGTGCAATGATAGAAGTAGAACCACGAGAAACACCAGTATTGGAACTTTATCCAAAAGATGTTCAAATAGCAACATTAGGTGGATCAGCTGATTTGCAATGTCGAGTAGTCGCTGGATTTCCAGTGCCAGAAGTTCAATGGAGCAGACAAGATAATCGACCACTTCCGCCAAATGTTAATCAACTTCCTGGAGGTTTATTACGATTTGTAAATATTACTGTAAATGATGGCGGGGCTTACGTTTGTACAGCAGTCAATGATGTTGGTTATCAGACAGCAGTAGCTCATATTGAAGTTCGTTCTCTTCCAGTTATACAAATTACTCCTAGTGGCGGAATTATCCGAGCTAAACTTCATGAAAGAGTGAGATTGACATGTCGTGCCGAGGGAATCCCTCAACCTAATGTAGCTTGGAGTAAACATGGCAATAGCTTTCAGCTGTTTGGACCATCTAGAGCATCATCCGCTACTCCTTTAACTGCTATTCATGAAATTATGTCCATGTCATTAGACGATGAAGGATCGTATACTTGTCAAGCAACAAATACAGCTGGAATGACGGAAGAAAGGATTCAAGTAGTAATAGATGATGATTATAATGATGTTGATGAATATCCCAATTGTAGGGGTGATGCAGCATGTGAGTATCCTGAGAATCGTCGTCCTGGATCAGGATCTCAAGTAGTACATCCTCCGAGAGGTCCAAATGAAGGTGTTAGAATTCCTGAAGACTTTTTGAGAATTCCTGCTGGAGGTAATGTGGAAATAAGATGTCAAGTCGCTGCACCGTATGATTCACGTATTTACTTGGACTGGAAGAGAAGTGACAGAAGAATATTACCACCTGGTAGCACAGTTCATAATGGTATATTGACTATTCCTGAAGTAACTAAAGAAGCCGCGGGAGAATATGTTTGTCTTGGATTAGATCACACCGGTGCTGAGTTATTTAGAGCTAAATCTCACTTGGAAATAATTTGTAAGTTTTTTTGTAAAATGATGTTGAAATTAAAATTAATTATCTAAAATTTATGGTAAGTAAAAAATAATGAATTATTATAGCTCCACCAAGAATCGACTTAAATCCAAACAGGCAAGTTGTAGCACCTGGAGAAAGTCCTTCAATTATATGTACAGCAACTGGAGATCAACCCTTAAAAATAGAATGGGTTGCATTGGGTCGATCATTACCGCATACTGTTAGCCATCATCAAGGTGTGCTTCGATTCCATGGAATTACATATGCTGATGCCGGAAAATACGTATGCAAAGCAACAAACGATGCTGGTACTGCAGAAGCTGTTGCTGAAGTTTTAGTTAATGGTATGTTTTTTTAATTGTTATATAAGTTTGATAATGTAATTAACAAAATTATAAATTATTATTGAGGAATATTTTAAATGATTAGAAAACACGTATGAAGATTTTGGAGTACGTGCCGTTGAGCGAAATGTGAGCACGATAACTGGAAGTTCTGTGAGACTAAGATGTGAGACACGAGAACAAGTAACAATTCACTGGAATAGAGAAGGCCAACAACTACCACAAAACATACGAATTGGAGACAACTATTTGGAATTAACTAGAGTAAGACCTGAAGATAGCGGTCGTTATATTTGCCAAATTCGTAATGCTCATGGCGGTTCTTCTAGTGATTACATAAATCTACATGTTGCTCGTAAGTAAAATTGCTACTATGAGATACAACTCATACAAAACAATATTCGATTCCATAACACCACAATCTAATTTATTAATTTCTAGTTCTATTTAGTATAAGTTCTTGAATTTCTTTTTTTTTCTTTTTTTTATCAATTTATTTGCGTGTATCGCTTGTCGCAATAATGTACATATTGAACATTTCACTGACACTGTGAGAGGCGACGATTGACATTCGCATCATCAAAGGCATCATGAATCATTCTGTTTGATGATTAATGATTTTGAGTTATCTTATAACTCGCGTTATGATTTAGTTACTTATTCGCTTGCGGATTGCATGCCAGTATTCCCATCGGTACTGTGTGCCAATGGACTGTACCTATGCAGAACTCAAGAGTGTATTTCGTTGGATAACATTTGCGACGGCTATGCACACTGCAACGACGCTACTGATGAACGTTTCTGCCGCATCTCGCGATTCCGCCAATATCTTCAGCGACGACGCGGTTTGTTTTGAGATTTTTGTGTCGTGTGTGTGTGTTTGTGCAATCCTTCTAAGCCTTTAAATTAGAGCTTTTTCGTTAGAGTAATATTAATAATTCTATCATTTTATTACTTAATTTATTTTTTGTCTTTTATGTGTTCTTCTTTTTGTCTTCTTCGTCTTCGATTCTTTCTTTCGTTGATTTCTCTGTACTTTCTATGTATACTCTTTTATAGACCATCTATTGATGAGTGGTAAAAAAACGTTTACTAATTTATTCATTTCATTATAGCACCAGCAGGACCTATTGTTCACATTGAACCATCCAGTGATATTGTAAATATTGGTGACTCTTTGGATTTGCGTTGCATATTTTCTTCAAGACATCCTGATCGTCCAAGATATCAGTGGTATAGAGCGAACCATGATTCATTGCCATCAACAGCGCAAGTTTACGAAGAGAATCTAAGGCTTATTAATATTCAGATGAGTGATAGTGGAGTGTATAGATGTAGGGTTGACTCGAAAGAAGGTGGATTCGTTCAAGAATATAATCTTGTTGTTCAAGGTGAATATCTTAAATTTCATTAAATAATAAATATCTTAAATTAAATATAAACTTATATATTTCATATTTAATAAATAACATATTACTAATTAAAATGGGGTTATTTCTCAAATGCATTCGTGGATTCTCTTGTAAGTAAAAGTTACTCTAAGTAGCAAATAATAATTTCGAAAGTTCACATCATAAAGAAGCTATGAAAATTATGAAAATGGAGAGAACATATAATCGATACTCGCTATAAATTTTTCGTTTAATGTTGGTGAGAAGTCACTGACAAATTTATATTGATGTACAATAATGTATTACAATATGAGAATAATGTTAAAAATAAACCCTAATTCACAAGTAATTGTAATTCGGTATTAAATAATATTTTATTTTTTATGTGTGATATTGTTTTGTCATAATATATTTACATATATTGAATTAATAATATTTCATCATTAATTTATTGACTTTGAAATCTAGATGATTTTAAATATTTTACTGAAATATATTAGGAGTTTATAAAATAATAAAATATATAATTATTAATTTTAAAATGAAGAAATCCTAATGTGAGCTTTTAAAAGTTTGAATAATTTATAATTTGTGAAAGTTGATTATAATTAAAATGTGAAAAATAAATCACACAGGTGGGGAAAATGATGAACCAGCTGTAGAAGTGAAGAGCGTCCCATATGGCTCAAGTATCGAAATGGAATGTCGAGTTAATTTAGAAGAACCAATCAAATACAAGTGGAGTAAACTTGATGGTATTCTTCCTGCAGTAATAACTCGAGATGTACGTGTATAGTTATTTGATCGATAATTAATCATCAGTCAAAACTTTTTATTAAAAGTACATATTGACTTTTTTCAGAATAAAATTCAGTTAATCAAAGTGAGGGCTGAGGATGCAGGCACTTATATTTGTACAGCATCAAACGGACTGGAGAGTTCAGAGGTTCCTAAAGTTTTGGTTGTCACAGGAGTTGTACCTAATTTTAACCAAGCGCCCAGAAGTTACATAGCACTTTCTCCATTGCCTGATTCATATCTGAAATTCAATATTGAGGTTTCTTTCAAGCCTGAAAGTTATGATGGAATTATTTTCTATAATGCAGAGTCGGCCGATGGAAATGGAGATTTTGTAATCTTGTCACTGGCTGAAGGATATCCGGAATTTAGGTAAAATCATAATGCTTCATGAGTCAACTTATTAATTAATCTTTTTTTGAAATTATTTCTTTAAATAATTTTTGATCAATTAATTTGTAAGAAATTTTATAATATGAAAATGTGATTAGTAAATAGTATCAATTTTGAATTGAATAAATGTCAGGCAACTAATTGGAATTAATTTTATTATCAGATATGATCTAGGTTCTGGTCCAGCTACAATTCGATCGGATAAGACTATTTCATTGGGAGTATGGCACACAATTAAACTCCAACGTAACAGAAAAGAATGTATCATGGTGGTTGATGGTGAAGGTCCTTACAAATCAGCATCGACTGGTAGGAAACAAGGACTAGACGTAAAAGAACCTCTCTATGTTGGTGGAGTACCCGAATCTGTTGTCCTGTCTGATCGAACTGGCACAATCCGCGTAGGACTCGTTGGCTGTATCTCAAGAATGATTGTAGGTGAAAAGACACTTGATCTAATTGGAGATCAAACTGACAGCGTTGGAGTAACTACTTGTGAAACTTGCGCTGAGAACCCATGTCACAATTCTGGCGTTTGTCAAGAAGCTCCTACAAAGCACGGATATATGTGTCTTTGTCGTGCAGGATACAGTGGAAAGCTTTGTGATAAAGTCGGACAATCTTGTTATCCAGGTAATTCGATTTTCTTCTATGTTCGATAAAATAGTTTTCTTTAACCGGCGTTTGATTGAATCTTATAATCATATTGTTCATTGAGTGGCTAGTTATTTAGTAATACTAAACATACATAGGTTAAACAGTTAAGAATTTTGAATAACTTTTATATATTAAAAAATTTTTTTTTATTAGGTGCTTGTGGACAGGGTACATGTATTGAAGTGGAAAGTGGATTCGAATGTCGCTGCCCTCATGGAACTTCAGGAACTTATTGTGAACGTGCTGCTGAGATACGTCGGCCTTCTTTTAATACCGATCATTCATATCTCGCATATGAAACACCAAAAGCTGCTAGACGGTAAGAAATGTTTAAAATACATTAGATGCATGTGCATGAATATTTTCTTTCATTTTTTACAGTCAAATTATTATTTTTTAATTGTTTTATGTCTTGATTGTTTTTCAAATTTTATTCAACCGGGGTAACATAGTTTGGGAATATATAAATATATAATTGGCAATAAAGTTTAAATAATAAATTATTCTAAAGGTATTAAATAAATTCAACCGAAGAGGAATAAAGTATTAAAAGGTCTAGATTTCAATTTGCAAAACCACAATTAAATCAATAAAACTTCAGCGACGAACTTGGAATCTATAAAGTAATAAAAGGAAGCTAATAAATGAATTATTTTCAGGGCGGAATTGACAGATTCTATTAAAGAAAAACGATCGCATGGCCGAATGTACTTGGCAGAGCTTAAAAAAGCAAGAGCCAGGCGTTCTCATCTAAAACACAACAAACACCACCACAAAAAAGATTAGAGTTAGCTTACAAAGTTGTTACACGTAGTTAGATAAAGATTAGTCTCGATTAGTGATTTTTAACAATTGCAGAATTTTTATCTATCTGCTTTAATCAACTGCCATAATTTTCTAAAGAAAAAAATGAAATATTTAAAATAATTATATCAATTACTGTGGTGCTATTATGTACAATTATAAACTAACTCATAAATTATATTAGAGTCTTTGTACAGCTTTTAATCGTTATATTTTCTTATATTCAGCGCACTAAGTCATTTAATAATTAATGGAAAGAATAAATAAAATGCCGTTAAGTCACTGCCGTTCGCATTTAACCAGCACTCTAATAGTAGGTCTTTGATAAAGCTTTTAAAAAACTCGGTTCACTGTGACTTTACCGCATAAATTTTGTAATAATTGTATAGACAAGAGATTATTACGAATATTTCACCGCCATATTTGTATTTATACATTGAATGTTTATGATATTAAATGTGTTTTGCTACTTAAGTTAGACATTATATTATTTACAAGCAAATAAAGATGGACGTAACAATAATCATATAAAACTATTATTTCTCACTTATTATAATTGTATTTTATTTACTATTATTTTATGATTTTTTTACGATTATTATTAATATTATTGTAATTAGTTTTTTTTACATTTAATTTGTGTTTTTGTTTGGAATTGTGTTTATTTGTGTTCCTTCACATCTTTCTGTACATCAAGAAGAAATCATCTACAACTTATGTTATTGGGTAAATTATTAATCATAATTTTATTTTAGTTTAATTTTTACTAATCTTTTTTGTCTTATTCAATAAAACTATCATAAGTAGTTTGAATTAATAATGTAGTACTCTTTTGAGTACTGTAGAACTAAGGTAGAACTATTTTAAGTAGAGAATAAACCTTCAAGTGAGTTATACATTTTAATATAGTATTTATGAATTATCATTTTTGAATATTTACTAAACCAGAACTTTACAAAGTTTTCAATGTTGCAGATACAATATTTTATTAATGACTAATTTCAATGCTTCTGTTTAATTATATTAAGTTAATAATTATCATAAAGGGATTAATTTGTTTTCCTTTTAACTTAGGCTGAAAGTAACATTGAACTTCAATCCTACGCACAATGGAGATGGAATATTGATGTATTGTTCACAAAGTGACGAAGGACATGGAGATTTCGTTGCGCTTATTATCAAAGATAGAGTCGTAGAGTTTCGCTTTGATATTGGTACTGGAATGGTTGTGGTACGATCCAATTACACGATTCAACCTGGAGTTTGGACGAGGGTCATCCTCAACCGAGACTTCAAAGATGGCAAATTGTCAGTTAACGATGAACCTTTAGTGGAGAGACGAGCACCAGGAACTAAGAGAACTATGACACTCAATACTCCTTTATATATTGGAGGCGTGAATCAGAGTCGAATTAGAATTAATAAAAACGTTGGAGTTCAACGTCATTTCCATGGATGTATTAACGAAGTAAGTATTTCTCTTATTTCATTAAATTTATTTGAAACTAAAAATACTATTTTCAGAATAGAACGATTATCTTTGAAATAATTCAATCAAATAAATAAATAAATAATATGTTGCTTTTCAGTTGGAAGTTTCAACCCTGAATGTTAAACTTCTGAACTCAACAATTGATTCATCAAACATCGATGAATGCAGTATACCATCGATTCCTTGGCAAATAAATCCTACAGTTGCCACCATGCCAGTCTTTCAGCATGAACATCCATTATCCACACACTTTCCATTCATCATCTCGACAAATCGATATGATTCCTGTCAAACGAACCCATGCATTCACGGTGTTTGTCAGCTTTCCAGCAATTTTTATGGATACTCCTGCGTTTGCGAGTACGGATACGCTGGCATTAATTGCGAAAATGTATTGAAGCAATGTGAATTATTAGCTCCATGTAGAAATGGTGGAACATGCATTGACATTCATGGTCCATATAAATGCGATTGTTCTCTTGGGTTTACTGGGAGAAACTGTGAAAAACGTAAGTTAGTTGCTAAAAAATAAACTATTAATTATTCTACACAATAAAAATACCCAGTTTGTTATTCTGTTTCTACACATATTCTCGTTTACTGTTTCCTCGTTTGGATGTTTAGAATTGATCTTTGATTGAAAAGCTATCGAATTTACTTGTCACGTATCAATAGATCTATAAACGTAGATTTAACTCTAAATGTAACAAAAATACCCAAATAGTTAATAATCTGCAATTTATTACCTTTAAAAGTATGTTTATCTTGAATATTGACGTTTATTATTGTATTTCAGAAACTGAGATAGCATACGACGTAGCTTTTCGAGGTGATGGTTGGCTGGAGCTTACAGGTTCTGTCATGCCACATAATGAACAGCGTGAGGTGCTTTGTTTTGAAATCTCTACAAATAAGAGCAATGGATTAATTATGTGGCACGGACAGCTACCTAATGAACGGAATTATGATGATTACATAGCACTTGCTGTTGTAGATGGGTATGTACATATTTTAAAACTTTTAATTCAATTTTTTACTTATTATCAATATTTATCATGAATGACTTCTTTTTTTCAATCTTGTAGGTACATCGAGTATCAATACGACTTGGGTTCTGGTCCAGCAGTTATTCGGGTGCCTACGCAACGAGTAGATGATGGTGAACGACATAGAATTATTTTAAAACGTCAAGGAAGCGATGGTAGCATAGAATTAAACGGAGACCACACAGAAAGCGGAGTAAGCGATGGACTTCAGCAAACTTTAAATGCTCGAGGCAATGTTTACTTAGGCGGAGTCCCGGATTATGCAATGACTAACAGAAAATATCATGAGGGATTTTCTGGATGTATCTACACATTTGAAGTTCAAGATTCTGGTGCTATTGACATTGGTGAGAAGGCTGTGAGAGGAAAAAATGTGGCTGCTTGTACAAAGTAAGTTTTTTGAAAATGAAATTAACTTCTTTAGTTATTTTTTTCAACTTCCATAATGATTCTATTGGTACAATAAATTGAATTAATTCATAGTAGTAATTTTCTAGATAGCAAATTGAAGTAATTTAATTTAAGTACTCTTTCAGTAATTAATTCTGATAACAATGTCATTAACTTAATCAATTTCATGCTGCATATCAGAGTGAGATGGGATCCATCTTCTTTAGTATTTACGGAGGTAGATGCTGATGGTTTTGATGACTTTGTTCCCCCACCCCCTGTTAATATAATTCATCCTAAACCTACAGTTAATTTAGCTACAAGTAATTCCAATAACCTGTATCCTCTTATTGCTGTACAAAATTTAATTCAATTTATAGTTGACTCAGTTCTTGAAATGAATTTAAAATGCGGTCTTCGGAGACTATTTTTCAATTTACTCTTGTTAAATTTATGGATATACTACATAAATTAAATTGAACAAATCTTTCGGATTTATCAAAACTTATTTGAATTTTTGATCATTATATCGAATCTACAGGATTATATTCCAATGAAAGTAATTAGAATAAAAAGCTCCTGTACATTCGATAGATTTTTATAGTATTATTAAAATGAAAATGTATATAATTTAATGCTTGACCAAAGACCGTGAGGAATAAAAATATTAGCTGAGGTATGTTCAAATGAAGTAATGATTAAACATTAATTATTGTTGCCATTGAAATTATTGAATAAAAATAATTGAATTGATTTTCTAATTTAGTAATGTTTGTTGCAGCGATATAGATTATTTTTCCAACGATCTTCCAACAAGAGGTGATCTTGGAGGCGCAAAATCACTACAAGGATTTGCCTAGAGATGATAAATTATTGCGCTTGCCGTTTTTTTATCCAATTTGCATAATATATGCGATATATATTTAAAAAAATGTAAATGACAAGACTCATGCCAGCTGTGCGCATTTTAAAGTAATCTTCTTACTTTATACATTGCAAGCGATAACAGATTTAAAGTCCAAATGCTTTTTTTGTGAATGCAGAATACTTTTATACATAATTCTGATGTAGGAAAAGAAGCTGGACTTGTATAATATACGTAACTAAAAATTTCTACGCAAATAAGAGGATAAAAATGTTGGTGCAATTTATAATCATTATTATATATATACTACAACTTTTTATTTGAAAATTTTATTAATAATTTTTTGATATCCAAGTATGCGACAAATACCTCTGATAGATTAAATATTACTCAATTGAGTATGTAATATAATTTTCACTGCCATTGTTCATTTTCTTCAAAATCAAGTTACTAGAAATCTTTATTCTATTGAATTATGTGAACAGTATTTTAACTTTTTTAAAATTTTGTTTCAAAGAAAGCAATGCATTCGAGTGAAGACTTGATAAACCAATTATAGTTATCATTTTTTGTTAAATTTGATAGGTACTTGATATCATATTAAACAGATTAATTTAAATTTTAAAAACTTTTTTACAATTTATTTCATCTTATTTTTGTTGACATTTGTTCAAAACCATTAAACATCAATTTTCAGTGTTCACATGATTTCTATATTTTGACAAAGTGTAAAATGATATAAAAAATTATTTCATTACACTTAAAAAAAATTTTATGTTCGATAAAAATAAAAATATGTAATTTAATTATATGATAATTGCAAATGTGAAAGTACATAATACGAAAACAGATGAAAGTATAGTACGTATTGTTATGTATAAATTATGTGAAATGAAATGACAATAAATATAATTTTGATAAAAAAAATTAACAAAAAATACAACGAATATAATTTTAAAACAATTCTATTATTAATAAAACTTAGCTTTAATTTGTTAATGATGTATTTACTTTACGCTGTCAGGTTGAATTATTTCCGACAATATAACATACAATTTTTTTTTACCTATTGCGAATGTACATTACTTTTATAATATTAATTATCTATACAATAAATTATACCATTACGGGTTGCTACGCTTCAATTGTATAACCTGAGATGAAAGGTAATCCAGTTCCAACTTCCTTTTGATATTTGACATATTCTTGTCCGAAAAAATTCAATAATGTTATTTCTTCTATTGTTACTCGACTATAGAAAAATTGCCAGGATGCAATAGTGTATGCCACGAAACAAATAGGATTCTGCAAAATTAACTAAAAATAAAAACGTCATTTGTTAATAATTGAAGGATAATTTTTTGATAAAATATTAAAATTGTTTACATTATTTCGAAATGGAAGAGTTATTTCTAAAGTGCTATTTAAATAGTTTACTCAAATATTTTTTCTTCAAAATAATGATTGTTTAAGTAGTTAATTACAAAATATAATCATAATGAAAGATCTCTATTCTATAAATTTAATCGATATTCGAACAAACAATAACGAACAAAACAATATGAAAATTTTTCAATAAAACATTTGAAAATAAATTACATTAATTGTAGTTCATTATTATAATCCTTGATTAATAACTTCCATCATTTTTTAGTAATTTTCCTATACTTCTAATTTAATCAACAATAGACATTGTTTCAACTTATTTTCATTAAACACTGAATTCAATGTACTTACCTGAGTACCAAGAGACCAATAAAACCATCCCACATAACTAGGATGTCGGCATAATTTGTAAACGCCATGTGTAACCAGCTGATGATTATCTGATTTCTCTATTTGTACAAGATGATTAAAATTATGTTTTGCTGTGAACATTGCTAGTTTTCGCAATATTTCTCCACCAATACACATGATTAGTCCAAGGTATGATATAAAATATGGTTCCTTCATAGCTGGAAACCAATATCTCTCAACTGCAAATTCTAGCCAACTAGAACATGCAGCTATACCATAAGCCAAACTGTGATTAAGAATGAAACTATCGATGGAAACGGCTTTTGGATTTGACCAGGCAATAGCGAAAAATTCAGTATAATGGAAGGTTGCTAAAATAGTAAGATATATTCCAAAGCACTTCCATGATATTGGTGCTAAAATCGAAATTAGTATCCCCAAGGCGAAAACGTAGCCAAGAAACGCTGACCGCACAGTTACCTGAAATAAATGGTATTTTCAATCAAACATTGAATAAATACTTATTTTATACAGCTTTAACCTAATATATATCAAAGATAATTTGTTATTGTAATTTGAGCGGTACGATTGTTTTTTATTTTTATAAAAAATTTTTTTAAACAATCAGCACGTTAGAAACAAATAATCATGAAGAGCTAAAGTTATTATCTAAAGACTAAAGTAAAGTTCTTTAAAAATTAAGGGGACAAATAACTAATATTTACCTGATATAAGAATCCTTGAAAGAATAGAAAAATGAGTGTGTTTAAAAATATAAATTGAAAAATATGTATAAACCAAGTGTGTTTGAAGACCTCATGGACATAAGAGTTAAATTCAATTCTCAATACAATTTCTGGTACACTTGCAATAATTATTGCGGTAACAAAACATCCTAAACTAATTTTACCCTCACGACATAAAGTCATTGTAATTAAATAAACTGTGATATCCCTTTTTTAGTGCAATAAAGTTTAATCAAAACTAGGTTATAATTACAATATTTAATGCTCATATAGAGCAATACAATGGAACTGACTATTTTAAGACATAGTTTAATTTGGACTATCTATAATCACACATTTTTCTATAATAATTATAAATTTTAGTTATTTTCTTACAGTATTGGAGTAAATTTTTGATAAAAAAACTTGCAACATGTTTTAATGTTTATGTTTCATCTGTTTTATCATAATGGCAGCACTGTGGTAAACCCCTTTGCCAAGTACCTATTGCCCTCTAGTGATGAAATTCTATAACGATGTCAGCGACCAGAAAGAACGGATACAGGTAAATTTGTCTTCTTATTATTCCAATAATAAATACATCCTTAGGGAGTAATTAATTTTAATTTAATTCGTATGATAATTTAAATTATCTAAACCGCAATTTTAATTCAATAGCACCGTAATTTCCATAAAAAGTCTCTAAAAACTTGAAAAATTGTGATAGCGTCATTTAATAGTTTTGGCGGGAATAGTGCTCATAAACACTTGGGGTGTTCACACAATCAAATAAGTTAAAAATTGGTTTGTGTGCATGCGTATGGATGTAGTATTTTTTTACTCAATAAATTACATCGATAGTTTAAACTTAATTAATTTGATTATTTAAAGTCTTACATGTTGTAACGCAAATTTTGTATTTTCAATCATCACTATTGAATAGTACTCTTTACCGCTCTCTCGACACCTAATTACATATAATTATACTTAATCATTGTAGAGAACCATGGATCGATCGTTGAAGATGAACTTTATAATTAAATCAAAGATAGATAGCTTTTATTATTTTCTAATAAAAGGGTTAGTAGTAGCCTAATAATTATTTTTTATGATTGTATTATTATTTTCCTCAAATAATATTCGTGTCTGCGGTTAAATATACATATATACTTCTATTTGAGAATTTGAAATAATATTTGCGATTACATTATAGTAACTAAATAGTTCTTCAACTGTCAAGTGATTGATTCAGCTATTTTATTACTGTTGAAGAAAATTTTACAATCATTTCATTGGAGCTGTATCAAAAGATTCTATTTTAGATTATTAAAGTAACAAAATTCTTCAGTTTCATTGATTATTTATTTGATATTAAAACATTTTTCTTTTAAAGAATTGTATAGTAAAAGATATACTTACAAATTTTACAAGGGATTCTAAACAACACTTATGTACATTATTCAAATGCGGTTTATCTTTGATATTTGTTAGGTTTATAGAGATGACATCAAGAATTTATTATACGACAATATAGGAAATTTAAAATAAAAAACTCTCATCCTGTTCATGGATGCTATTCATACAAAAAAGAAGTTGAATAATTATAATAATGAAAAAAGTCATAAAAAATGATTAATACTTTTACAAATAATTTTACTGAAGAACAAATTGTACTGCATGAAAGGTATTTATTTTTTCTGATATTATTTTATAATAAGATAACTTTTCGAAGCTGATTACATACTTGTTATGTACAAAATTGATTTATTCCAAAGAAATATATTGTTTCAGCTTAATTTGATATTTTTTCCAAGGCTCAGATAAATATTCAATCTATTTTTTTATATTTTTTTTTCTAGATGAAAGTTTTTTAATGCGTTACCAAATGACGAACTAATATTTCATCATATTCTCATGAAATATCATTCGATTATCTGACAGCATAATCCCATAAGTTTGAAATCTATCAAGTCTAGCTTATTGAATAAAAAACAACATGATATATGAACTTATTAAACTTTGTGAATTTCACTTTATTTAAGTTCTTAACTGTAGATTATAAAAGAGTAAACTCTACGTTGATTATATTCGATTTAATATGAAAAATTTCCGTTTAAAGCTACTACCCACCTTTAGAGGATTGACTACTAATGCATCAAAAGAAATTCAAGTATTAGACTAGTTACTATCGTATCGCTCGTTTTCGTAATAGGATGAAATAAGATTAGTAGAGCTTTATTACTACTGAAAACACCTTAGGATACCGTCTAGCCACGAAATCCATCTCCCAATTAAGTTTCGTCTCGTTCTTCTTGATGGAGAGTCTGCTTTTGTGGGATACGAAATTAGGGCTGTGAACGAGAGGGTAATTTGTGCAGAAGTTGGGGACATTGTGATTCCTAACGGTGTTCATTATTGTGGTTACTATTGTGACCTTGGCACATTTAAGTGGGTACATTCAAGTTTTGTGAGGTCGAGGAGCCGGTCGATGTTGGCACCAGACCTTCTGGCACCACTTTTTTCACTGAGAAACCATTTACAAAAACGATAAACTCTATCAGTAAAAGCTTTAGTTTTTGCATATAGTTGCATATAGAATATAATAATAACTAGAGAAGTTCACTAAAAACTTATGCAAAACCCATGCAAGCTGTATGATTCGTGTGATAATAATTTCTTATTACTTTTTGAAAACATTTTTTTAGTTATAGCAAAGAAATTTTGACAATTACTCGATTTTTTTTTTGGTAAATAAAAAATATTCCAATTGAAGATGAATGGATAATTATGAGCTTTGTTTTGACTAATTTCATATAAAATAATTTATGGCTTAGTGAGCTATGTATAAATTAAAATGAATTGATTATGATTGAAACAAACACTGGTAATAAATATACAAGTTCTCTGGTGGTTGAAAATATTTAATAGACAATAGAAGAGTTTACATAGGTGATACATGATGCGGCAACTTAATTGTGCCGCTGCAATTTTGATTGGATAGTTAATTATACGCATAGTTGTCAGTGCAGATGTTGGTTATGCAAATTGCATTATCGACTCATCACTACCATGATCCACACAAGTGTCTGTCGACGTCAATACTTGAATACCGTGTTCATATCAGTAGTGAGATGTTCGATATGGATTTGCATTGACAAAACGTCTAACTTGCCAAAGTTAACATCTTGTTACATCGAAATGGCGAAATCCTATTTTACATTTCAGGTTGAAGGAGACTTGATAGCAACATGAAACACAATTCTGTTTGTACCGCAATATTGATATGTAAATCTACATAAGAGTTTTCTTTTACATATTTACATCTACTTTCTGCAAAATCTTCAATAATGATACGTTTCATAAAGCTACACGTCGGGTCATATATATCCAAAATGTTTTACCGCAAAATCTAAATCCTAAAAACCTGACCAAGATATCAAAGTAGGTAAGTTTATGTACACAGCGAAAAAAATTGAGCTTATTTACTTTTTTTAATTTTTATGTTAAAAATAGTCTGTAAATGATTTGTATAAAATTTGAACACAAGTTTATAAAGTTTAATATTTTATATTATATTAATCTACGAAAACTTAATCCATTAAGAATGCAAAATTTAACTCATTAGCTAGGTTGTTTTAGCGGATTTTGAGTTAAAAGATAGCTTGTGTTGAATTAAAATTTCAAAACAGTTATAAAGTTGAATTAAATTTTTAAGCCTTTTTTAAGACAAAAACTACTATGCCCTAGAGTAGATACTTTTTATTTTATTGAAAATTAATTCTGGATAAATTTTTTAATCAGAACTTTTCTTGAAATAAATTTTTATTAATTTGATATAAATTTACTCTTATAAATTTTGAATGAAATTTGAAAAGTATATTGATGTTCTGTTCTCAACTTTTCTAATATTAATTTACTAACCTTATTATTAATATTATTAAAGTAACGTCATATATTGAGTTATAAATTAGTGAAACCCAAGAGGCTCATCACTTTCGCGACTATTATTATGATAATTAACTTTTAGAAAATAAAATTCGACTGACTATTTTTAACATTCATACACAAAATTTTTTACTCTGCACGATTTTGAATAACAAAAAGATAAACCCGTGTAAAAATATTATCATTCATCGTCTCTAACGTTTCATAAATGCAAAGGAGATAGTGCAATTTCTATAAAATGGATGATGAAAGGTTTGGTAAATTTGAATGTTATTCCGTTCGTTTTGTTCAAATTTTTTTTTTACACCGGATCAGGATGCGGCGCCAGCAGTTGCATACTCGATGACTTGGCGATCTATACCATGAATAACAAAAATTATTGATTCAAGTAAATATCAACTAAAATTACATGGAAAAATCTTTAACATACAAACCTGTTGTTTACATTGCATGGGCTTTTTGGCATAGACTTTTAATACTCGACAATTGCAGGCAACTGACAATGCCACTACGAGACCCTGAGGACATAAAGAGAGCAAAAAATTAGAATACAAATACGTATGTAATGTAGAAGAACGTGTCTCAGAGGAGAAAAAGCATTAAATGGACTTCCATATCAACCTGAAGTGAGTGGCCAGTGCAGAAAATGGCCCATAAAACGGGAATTCTCCAAATCCTCGCTGCAACGCCACAGCCAGCAACCAGGCCAACTGTTAAGCAGATTTTGAAGAAAAGAAGTAACTGAAGACCTCTTCTTCGCTTCATCTTCTCTCGCAATCTAATTTCCAGCTGCATACTACATGTATACCTGAAAAAAGTGAGCAACAAAAATAATATCCATTACATGGAGAGAATCTTCATTTATTTTTTTTAAATGTAACTTGATTTAAGTGAAGAAAAGTTATTTATTGATCACCTCGACACAATGGCAGCCTTGAGAAGATAGTATCCAGAGATAAAAAGAAGTAGAACGATAGGTAGTCCATAAGTGTAGATTGTAGCTTTAGTGCCAAGGAACCTGTCATGTAAAACCAAAATAGGTAATCAAATCTAATTAATTCGGTAGTGAAATTAGCGTATATTAATTAACATTTTATACTTTCGACAATTTATGAATACATCTAAGAGAATGTTGGAAAAATAGTTTATCACTATTATATGCCTTGCCAGGAGAAGACAAGAATCCAACGGTAGAATACATTGTATGGATGAAAGCTAAAAGGATATCTAATCCTTGGCCTTTGTATCTTTACCATTGTCCCAGAATTGTGGGAGCCAAATGCCTCGATTTACCCTCTCATGACTGATTTATCATCTCTGCTCACTCAATATGGTCGTAAGGTGAAAGGAAACTTGATTATTATTCTACCCCCTTAGAGAAATTGCTTCGGATGAAATTAATTGCAACCAGAAGAGTGTGGTAAATGAAGAAAAGCTCAAGTAACTGAAGATCTTACCAGTCGATAAAAAATAAAATTTTATTACTCGCTTGTGAAGTTCTTTTCTTACTTAATTTTTTCTTTTTTTTTAAGAGAAATCGATAATGTCAGGGTGAATGTGAAAACTCTCAACTATTGAACATTTTCAAGAAAGGAAGAAAATTTTATAGGTATTGTTACCAGCAGTTGAATGGTGTCAAATCCGTAATGTTCCAAATATCATTGGCTTCATGAGTTTGAACGAGAATGGAAGCACTGAGTGTCAGAAGTGGTGCTCCCCAGGCAAAAATGCTGTACTTGAGATACGTTGGTGGATCATCACAACGTGGAATCGATGCTATTGTTGCATAAAGGTGATGGCACATGGCAACCAACCAGCAAACAACGGAAATCCTCAAATATTGAAGGCTGAGTCCGAGCGCAATACATAGCTCCGAGTCCTGTAGAGTAAGTGCAGATTATAGTTATACTCAACTGATGTTCCTTAGGGATTAATCTAGTATGTCGAGAACTTTGTCAATGACCAAGTATGACATCAGCTAATAATTAAATTTATATTGGATGATATAACTCAAAAACACAGTCATTTTTATCACCCAAAATTTTTATAAAAATCCTATAAAACAATTCTCTGTAGTTTTGAGGTTTAGGAAATAATATTAAAAGTTATCGAATCACTGCCAAAATCTTTAATAGTTTATATAACAATCACGTCTACAAACAACAGCATCCAAATAAGAGTACTTTTCTAAATTAAGTTGAAGATTTAAATAGAAATTAAAAAATAGAATAAGCAAAAAAAATTTAAAAGGACGTTGTAAACTTTTCCGGTAAATAAAATATTAGAAAAAGTTTAAATCGATATATCTCTGTAAAATCATTCTAAAGGTTAATGTTAATATATAGCGTATCGATTTTAAATGAGGAAATAAAAGCTCAACTCGATGAAATGAATTTGGCAAAAATTCTAGTAATAATTAAATCATAAAATAACATTTTTATAACTTTTTCATTTGATATTGATATAGTTATATTTAAAACTATAAAAATGCAGTTAAAAATTACATTCCATTAGAAATGATTGAGAACTCATGATGCTTAGAGCTAGTATGGTACCGGCTATACTATGAGTTTATCTTTTTAAGCTTATAAGCAATACACAAAAAAAAAAAACGATTAGATATCAGAAGAGATCAGTAATTCACATACGAACATTTCTCGTTGACACTATTTGATGTTAATCATTTCTGATTTATTTGAAACTACTTCAGCTTTTCCAATAAAATTTTTTATGCGTTTTCCATTATTTTTTTCTGGAAAAATTCAGTTTTAAAATAGAGCTTTACATGGTGTTGAGCATAAAAGTTTCCTTAATTTCCATGCCACATGAGCAAAGTGAAGTTTTTCTGCTAACACATCTTAAACTTTCTAGTTCACTGTTCTTTATAAGGACTCTAGTGCTTTTGTGCAAGTGAAGGAAGTCCTAAAGAAAACTTTCATCTTGATGCATGCCACCATCGTCTTTTTACTTCAAAATTTTGTTTTTTTGTATATTTGTTTTCTTACTTTAAATTGTAGATCGGTGTAGTAAAAACAAGAGAAAAGTAATTGTCAATTTAGCATCAAAGTCAAGAAAGACAATCATACCATACACATCCAATCATTCATTTAATCCTTCAAATATTTCACAAATTTTCTCAATATTATCTGAAATTATTTTGAAAAATGTATTGTTTCAATTTCTGTTTTTTAGAAAAATTGCTCACATTTAATATTTATATACAAAAATGAAATGTTTGCTACATCTCATTTCTTCTTAATAGTTCTCAATGACATATAGAAAATTAAAAGCATCTCTCCTTCACTTACAAGATTAATGGCAATGTTAAAAAATTCTTCAAATACTCGACGCGGCTTGAGAGAATAAAACCCCTTTCATTTCTATTCTCTTATCTCATATTTTTTCGTATTGAATTAGTTGATGAGTTAGTAGATTTTATATTGTAAAAAATGTTAATTATTAGATTTTTGCACAGACTTTTTATTAATGAAATAATGTAAGGATAAGAATGGTAAATTAGTCCTAATAAGACACCCTGAGATTTGTTGTTAATTTTTAATTACTTTACTTTTTCAAATGATTTTGATTTGGTTAATCACTGCAAATTTTAAATTTGGAAGTGTTCTAATTTAGAACATTTAATGTAACTACAATGTTAATTAAATAGGCGACGTCATTTTTAATCACTTCAAGTGTTTTAAATTAAAACACTATGATTTGCAGTGATTGCACTCATTATTAGATTATAAAATGTTATTTATGTTGTAGGTGATTCATAATAGTAATTTTCAGTTAACATTGTCCACACTGGCATGAGTCTTCAATATGTTCATATATTAATTTATCTATTCATCATTTAATTCTCGTTAAAATCTAAAATTAATTAACAAAATAATGTAATTAAATAGATAGCAGTGTTTTATATATTTTGTGGTACAATATGCTTGAACCAACAGAAAGTAATTTCGTTAGAATTTCATTTATAATAACTTCAGCCAAGTGTTTAGCATAAAATAGCATAGTAAGTTAGTATTAAAATTTTTTATTGTATTTTTAAAATTCTTCTCTCGCATTTCATGTATATTTTACTGACCTACAGGAATGATAAAGTTATAAATTGGATGAAAAGGATTACCTAATACATTTTGTAATTTCTAAAAATTTATTTTATTAATAACTCAGCATACACGCAGAGAAATGTATAGTAAAAATTACCCTGAATTTTCTAGTAATTTGGTGACACTACAGGGTGAGGGTAAAAATTACTATACACATTGTAAAAATTGCTGTGCACATTCTAAAAATTACCATACTGCATAGTAATTTTTACCCTAATTTTACCCTAAAAATTACTATGCAGTATGGTAATTTTTAGAATATGCACAGTAATTTTTACCCTCACCCTGCAGTGTCACCAAATTACTATAAAATTCAGGGTAATTTTTACTATACATTTCTCTGCGTGTAAAAAGATTTGTAGTAATAAATCAGATAATATAATGGAATCATTAAATTTATTTTTTTTTTCTATTTAAAAGTAGATGAAAATGGAATCAACTCTAAGTTGTTAAGTATCGAAGTGCACTTAAGCTTACTACTAATCTAATTCAAGTAATGTATATTTCAATGAATTCTTTTGTTGAATTCTAAAGAAGTCTTGGTAGAAACGAGTTTGAATTTGAGATATTATTGATCAAGAAAGAAATGAATCACTTTTTTTATCAAACTATTCAAGAGTAGAAAGTTGATGATACATTAACTACATTAACAATAATTCCATAGCTTCACAAATCAGCCATCTCCATGTAATTTACCGTAGGCTATAATTTTTATCATAAGTTTTCTTTTTGTCAAATTTTCAAGGAAACTTGAACGTTGATTTTCCCTTAGTAATTTTGCACTGATTGCACTTCAATTGCTTTAATATTTCTTCATTTTTTTGTCAAATAAAATTTGAAATGTTTTCAAAACCTTTCAATTATATTACTTTTCATTTAAAGTCTCATTAAATTTTCCATTCATCTCTGAACTTGTTGATTAATTTATTTCTTTACAATAATAGAATGTTTAATACGTCTATGTATGAACTCATAAGTAGTATCATCAATTTATCAAAAACTTTTCTCAAGGCGATTGAACTTATTCTAAATGTAAACTAGTTGTTAATAATCTTACTGCTGATTTTATTTTATGGCATTTCTTGTTCCAGATCCAGATAAAAGTAGGATTATATTTAGAACACTGCATGTTTCGTTATAACAATAAATTCGAGTGATTTATAACGCTTTAATTTAGGCATTCATGTTCACATTGTGTATTGGCCGATTGTATAAAATTGTCGATTGATTGTTAGAATTGAACAACAATAGCTCGAAAAACATGTATTCATTATACATGACTGAGCTTCAATAACTTTTAAATGGTCCTTCCAGCGAAAACATTCAATGAATTACTGACCAAAGATAATTGAAGTGATAGTAAAGCTGTACAAATACAGATTAAAAGGAAAAATTACATCGACGGGAAAATGAATAAAAAGTAATAAAATGTTTTACCGGAGGAAATAGTTCAAAAGGTAGTGCTAAAAACTGAATGTAAGGGAAAAAAACTTGTTCTGTAGCTTTTCTTATAATGTTAGTTTTTTGTATACATGAGATAAAAGAATATAAACGGAATTTTTAAGCAAATCGTGTGAATGTCGTGAGACTCAATTTAAACTTTAATCATCTATGTGTTTGTGGAGTATCTTATGTACTATTCTAAAGAAAATCTTTTACTATTTGATATACTCAAAATATGAGCTAAGTAAAAATGGTATAAATAAATAGCTTGTGAATATGCCGTCAATGTAAATGCGTATAAATTTTCATAGAGTCTCTTGGTGGGCTGGTACATTGAAAATGCTGTTCATGAAGATGACAGCAATGTAGCTAGTCGAATAGACAGTAATCACATCTGGTTTAGTTAGACGTTGAGAAAGCTTCAAGAGCTTGCCACGTTCAAGCGTGCAAATTAAACCACCGAAGTATGAGCGAAAATGAGACTTGTTGAGAAGCTCTTAAATATTTGAGAAATTCTTGGCCATGAAATCTCTCTTGCGTTTCTGGCTTTCACCAACTACTAAAGTCATAAGATGAGCTTATAAAAGTTGACAGGCTTATTGACACTATACACAATTTTTACAAATTGCAATTAACTTCGGTCAAGAGACAAAAGAGTCAAGGAAACTTAAGAGTACTAAATTAAAAGATTTTTTTTGCGTTTCTCTAAACAATAGTACAATAAAAGATTTCAAAAATTTTCGGTTTGGTCACTTCGATTTATCGTATAAAAGTTATTCTTCTGTTAATTCAAAATTCGTGTATTAATTCATTTACTCCATGACTTTTAAACTATATTTTCAATTTTGTTTGTTAAAACTTTAAAATTTTTTTAAATATTAATTTAATAAAATAAATAAAACAAAACAATTTTAATACTTTCAGTGACTATTTTATTGGTAGTCAATTAGCAAACAATGTGATACAAACTTAAAAAAAGCAATGAATTTGTCATTTGAATATATCTCTGTTGAATATCATCTGTTGACTGCTATATTATTTTATAAGGGGTTGTTAAATATAATTCATTGGATAATTATTCTAAATGGAAGTACAACGGCATGGATATTACGACTATAAATTTTCCAAAAGCATTTTTATTTCTATTTCCTTTTTTTCGATCTCTCAGAGGGCCTCAATTTATAGCACCGATTATTCGTTAGCTAGTTCTAGAGTTCTAGAGTTAGCCCATGAAAACATCAAATCGATTGCCGTGACCGACTTAATTGAAGAAAGTAAAACGATTTTAAAGTTAAAATAATGAAAGCTGTAAGTTATACCTTGAAACGAATCCTTAAAAAAGTATACATTCTTTTAACCGTTGCAATAAGAATATTGTAGTTTTTTTCACATAAAAATGTTTTCATTTTGGTATTTCTATTGTTGACAGAATAATAAAAAAAAAGAAAGCTCTAAAAATTTTTACCTGAACTCCACCAACACCGACGATAAAGAGAAGTTGAACCATAAAAAGAGCAGCTAGGAGGTTCATAAGGGTTGTTCCTGCCAAGCTGCGTAGGTCAGAAAAAAGGCTGTAACAAAAGATCAGAACATCTTTGAATAATTTTTTTTCCATATAAATGCTGTTTTTTGCATTCACCTCAGATTATATCAACATTTTTTACATTGTTTTAATGCAAAAGAATTGTATAGTTCTCGGAGTATTTCGGTGAATGTGAATTAATTGAATGTGAATAATTTTTCTAGAATAAAAGATTCTCATTATTTTTATTTAAAACTGACATTGTTAGGTTTAACAATAACTCCAATACTTATCAATATTTCGAACAATATAAATTATACAATTTATATTTATTCATTATTTGTTCGATTGGAAACTTTTTATTCTAATAAAATATTTTGAAGAATGATAAAAAATGTATATGTTGAGTTGAAAATCAGATTTATTGGAATTATAGCCATCCTTTTTGCACATTAGCTTTGAACATAAAAATGATTTTAAACCTTTACACCCGTTTCATTAATAACTTTGCATCAATGAAATTACAAAGAAAAGTTAATGTAAGGAGTGTTCCAATAAAATAATAGTCATCAAAGTATTATCAATCAATCTCTAGTAACACATGATTGCTCGTAAGCACGTATTTAGGTCTTTCACCTTCCTGAAAGATTCATTCCTTCCATTTGCAGTTTATCTACAAGTATAAAGCTACTTTCTATAACGATTCACGCTTGCCATTAGAGCATCGATTTTTTGCGGTAGACAATACTGTTAGATATCAGAAGTTGTCAGAGGACGACTTTAATTGACGTTGTAACTATTAAGGATCATTAAATCTGACTTGATTGTGCTTCTTCAACTTAGATAACGCCGATGTTAAAGTTGCAACGTGGCATATGAAGTATTGATTTAATATCCAATATATAGATGATCTGTAATCTTTGATAACGATGTAGATATTAATTACACGCCAGTACACTGGCTATCCTTCCATCTCACTGGTGTTGTGAAAGAGACAATCGAAATTACGCTAAACCATATAACACTGCGGTTTACCAATCACACATGTATTATATTGCAAACAAGCCATGATGAGATGCAGTTGCACATTCGTTTCATTTGAGAGTTGCTACTGACATTCGATAAAACCCAATAATCCTTCATGTGCTTTATTACCTATTTTGCATTAATGTATTATAAATTCCTTCTATCAATTCCTTGAATGAATTGAAGTGATAAATCAGACTAGAATAATCTCTTAGAAAATTTATTTTCAGAAAATATTAATTTGCAGTAGTATCTTTGTAAAGTTTATTTTAATAATGTCGTTTGATAGCAGAGTAACAAGTTCAAATTTTCAATACAAAACAGTAATAAACAATTTGCATTGTTATTTAACTCTGGACATTGCAAGCCTGTCGACCAATGTATTTTAAATCAGTTTTTTGTTTACAATATTCATATTTATAATAATTTTCATTTAATATTTTATATATTTAGTTCTGAAATGACGAGATCAAAGGTGATATCTATGCTTTTGACATAAAAAATTGGAGGCAAATAAAATACAACATACGCAAGGATGCTATATTGATGTATGGAGAGACTAAAAGCTCACTGGTCACCAAATAAATTTCAAAAGCTCTCGTATAGGGTATTTCTATGTTTTATAGAGTGGAAAGCTTTTGGAATTTTCCTCAAGTAGTTTATGTCATTTCATGAAATATAAATAGCGTCGTATTATGGTGTATTATTACCCCCTACAGTATATATATATATATATATATATATATATATATATAAATTATATAAGTTCATTGTTTTAGCGAAGGGTAGTATTACGCTGCATATTGTTTTACTATTTAATTTCAACGTGAGATACTAATTTGAATTTTGCATTTCATCTAGGTAAACAATTTTCCCTTCAATTTGTGACATTGTTTAGTTGTTTCCTGACTTGAGTAAAATCGTAAACTAAAAAGTTCTCCAAAGGTTGGCGTAGTTGTGGCCAGCTGGGTCGTTTGTGGCTGAACTTTTTCCAACTCAGCTTTAGGACTTAACGTAGGCGTCATCATTTCTCAAAGTTTATCGTGACTTCAGGAACAAGGGATGAATTATTCAGAGGTGTGAAAATGCTCGGGCAATAAAATAAATTCCACCTTTTCACTTGCCAGTTCATTTACTGATCAGTTTTTATAACTCATGTGGAAATGTAGGAAATAAAATTTATTCAACGCCTTTTGATATTTAATAAATAAACAATTAAGTATCAAAAGTATTTTGCTACACTTGAATGGCCTATATACATATCAAGGGGAATACAAATAAGTGAAAAAGCTTTCTGTATTCTTGTTTCTGACTTGGTACAAGAAGCTTGAAGATAGTTCGACAAGTAGTCCGAAGAAGCACTGAACAACAAAGCCATTTGAGAACAATATATCAAGGTCCTTCATCTGAAGTAAACTCGAATTGTATTGTTTTTTTTCTTGCATAAAAGCTTCGAGGTTTTGCTTTTTTTGTTGGTTATATAAAAGAGTACCGCAGTGAGAAAGAAAAAATTTCATGAATATTTATTGTGCTTTACACGCATACTATGTTTATCAAATTAAATATTTTTAGCTTGTTTTTTCAACAACAATAAATAACAATTTTCACTTTCAAAGATTATCCATGCTTTCAGCGAGTATTAATCAAATATTTTTTAATACTACAATCATTGATTTAAGTAAAAAATACTTTTATTTTCGTGTTATTTTATTTATTTATTTTTATCTCTTATTTTTTAAAAGACTATAAAAGCTTTGAATTTTGTTATACTTAATTTTTTAATTAGAAATGGTAGAATGGAGTAAAGAAATGAATACTTTACTTTGTCTAGAGTAAAGTAAAGACTATTACAAAAATTTAATTATTTTGTTTGATTTACTCCAAAGAGAAAGGAAAATTATTAATGGCTAAGATAATAAAAGAGAAGTGTCTTGTTCTCATTTTCGTTAATAATTCATGGTATTCATTAAAATGTACATACTATTTGATTTATATTAATAACAATAGTATACTTAATATTTTTTGTTTCGTTTTTATCGCCCAAAGAAAAAAAATATTTTTTTTTGTTCTTAATTAAATAAATGAAAAAGCGATTAGACTAATAAAAAAATTGTCAAGGAAAGATGAATAAACTTGACGCTTGAGCGATTCCGTAAACGCAAAAATAGTAGGATGCTTTCGTAAAATTTAATTAGATTATACCGCAGTTCTCTTGAATTCTCGGTATAGTTTTACTCTTTGTAACTCGTCTATTCAATAGTATTTTCCTAGTAAATTGTCACCTCTTTTTTTTGTTCATTTTTTTATATTTTTTTGTATCGAGCATTTTTATTTTCCAATTCGATTATTCCTCCCCGGCTTTGATAGATTGAAAATACTTTACGTTGTTGTTATTTCAATTTATACTTGAAAAAGATATTTGATTCGTAAAAACGCATTTTTCCTATCTATTTCTGAAAAGAAAATAAAAACTTTTCTGATCCATTTTCTTTTTCATCTCTCTGTGATACTTGAGAGTTAGTTAACTTTGAATTTTCAAGTATGTTTTCATGTATTCTAGGAAAAGTTATCTGCAGGATAGACTACGTTGTAAGTTTAATGAATGTCTGACTTTCATCATTTTTTTCTGTTTCTCCGAATCCTTTTATTGAACAAAGTAATATTGCATCTTATTGGCAACTGTTATGTAAAAAAGTTGAGAGTTACGAAGCACGACAAAATATAAAATAGAATAAACTTGGATATTCAATCATGAAAAAAGTCGACCTTCGCAATTTTCTTCGTATAATCTTTTCCTAATCTTCCTTTTCTTTCATAAAATCCTTTTGCTCGACATCTAGTCAGTAAAAACGTGAGTACGCGTTAATCTTGTAGCATAAAATGAACGAACTAAGTCCACCAGGTAATATCTTTCTATCGAATTTTTTTTAATTTCCCAGTAGATTTTACAGTCAGCTATCAACTCATCACATAGATTATCGACAAAATTTCACTAACACCAATCATCTTAAACAGTTATGAACATATTTTACATTTTTATTTTATTACCCTTATGAAGAAACCGGCAGTTTTTGATTAATAGTCAGATTGATTATATTTTTTTCAATTAACCGTTTAAAATGTCAAATAATTTAACAAAAAGTAACGAATAATTGTTATTTTGTTGAAATATGAATATAACTTTAAAATTAAAAGTGTTAAATTAAGGGGTGAATTTGAGAATATAATCATAAATTCCTGGAGGGTAATAATTAAATTAAACTTTTTTAGTAAGTCCGAAGTTTGAAAGAAAAGTGTTGAGAGGGACTTTTTAAATTCTTTAGAAATCTCTTTTGAACTTTATTTACACTTTATTTCTATTGGTAAAGTTTATAGAGATTTTTTTTAGTCATTGAATTTAAATTAAATTGAGTCAATCTTATTATTAGATACAAAGGATTTTAATTTTTATTTGGAATTTATAATTTCTTAGGTGAAGTTTTGAATATGAAATTTTCAATTTTTAAAAGGATCAAATAAATTTCTCGAAAATCTTGTTTTATTCATAAGAACAAAATTTCATGAAATTTTTTATAAACATTGGCTACAAAGGATTATCATTTTTAATTGAAATTAATCATTTAAAAATGCATTCGGACAAAAAAATATTCAGTCTTTTGAAAATCACAATGAATAATTTTTTTTTATTTCATTTCATTATATTAATTATGAGATAAAATTTTAACATTTTTATTTGAAATGTGTGCTTTATAAAATTTTATATCTCCACTATATAATTTCGATAAAATATTTGTAGATACTAAAGTTATTCAAGATACTAAAATTCAAACATTTTTCCCATTCATAATTTTTTATATTCATCATAATATTGAATATTTTTTACCGTAGTTATTCATACTTGAATGATAAATTTCTTTTTAGAAACATAACATTGAAAAATGAATCTCCAAACATTTACAAAATAAATGAATTCGACAAATCGTAATTCACAATAATTTTTTCCAAGCAATATTCCAAAGTGTA